GGCGGGAACAGCTCATGATCGGCAAGAACCAAGCAAACCGAGAAATGAGGCAGGAGCTGGCGCAGTCAATGTAAGGTAGGTATACGTAGGTACGAAGTACGGATACCTTAGAGCTGAGCTGATCGCGACGGGCAGGAGCTGAGGTTGCAGCTGCGTGAGCAGGAAGGAGAGACACAGCCTGCCTACGGTAGGTTCTTGCCTTCTAAGGTGGTTGTGTGAATCCGTACCTGTGTACGTAGTAGAGATGCGGGTGCAGGCAGGCACAGGGCACGGTGCACAGGGCACGGGATGCGCTTCCCTTTCCTTTTGCCGTCTGTCCAAGAGGCAGCACCGACTCTACCTTACCTTAGTACGTACTTCGTATAGCGTACTCCGTACAGAAGGAACGAATAGATATGAGGCAGGTACGAATGGGCACAATTACGTTAGAAGAGAAAAGGGCAATATTTCGTGAGGTGCCTTACCTTACACCAGAGCCGGCCTTCAACGCTTTGAACACCAACTTCTTCATACTTTTGGTAAGGTAGGCTGGCTCGCATAGCGCTCAGTCTCCCGCCCATCAGCAACATCTCGGGATCGTATTGGTAATCGGCTTGTCAGGCTTCCATCCTGGATGCTGAACTGCTTCACCTGATGATGAAGAAAAACCCAGCCCCGAGGAGACGAGATGTGCCGGCAGTTGCTTCTTGCTTGTTGCACGGGGCAGCCGCTTGCATTGGACGCACTTGCCTACCGTTCTCGGGGTTCCCATGCCCTCCTTCCCTGCAATGATCTGCCGCCATCACCCAGCATTTTGATGTTTGAGCATCGTAACCACCATTACTAAGGTATCACCATGGCCAGTTCCTCTTCGTGGCTTTCATTGATACATCATATCATGTACTGAGCATACCTCTCAAAGATCAGGGAGACAGCAACATGCATGGCTAACAAGAACAAGAAGCAGAGCCTTATTACCTACACAGCTTTCCCGTCCTGCCCTGCTCGAGCTCTTGCCCTGTCCTTGTCAACTTGAGGTAAGGTACCTAGGTAAGGTACTTTGCCTGGCAGTAGGCTGGCCCGAGCGTCGCATCCGATGCCCCCATGTGAAGCACGAGCCACGGGAAGAAATAGGCCCCCTGTCTATCCAATGAACTATGACGGATGCGGATCCATCCACTCAATTGACGGGGGTCCCTTGACTACGTACCTCGATGAACCTCATGAGTCAGCCAAGGTACGTTCCTGAGCTCACCGTCTCCAAGCTTCATTCAAGGGACTGTTGTCTCTTTCTGCCTCACCACCTTGCAGCCAACTAATCAGCTCCAGTTTTGGACCCTCGGTGGCATATCCAAAATCCCTTCGAGGCACCTGATCTCGCTGATTCGAGTCATCTTGAAGCACTTCGCGATCTCCAGGAGCGGTGAAACACCGCCGTTTCCGCGCTTCGCTGCCAGCAGCAACAACTGACCAAGGACGGCGCCGACGACCATCGGGACCTCTATCGGCAACTTGGCCGGCGTACCTATCTCGAGCGAGAAATATGTATCGGGAGCGTCGATTCAAAGTGCACATTCTCATACCTCGCAACCTAGCAAGCTGGGTAGGGTATTGACTACCCGTCCACCCCATCCTGGTCGTTGGTATGGCTACCGATCCGGGACGCTAGGCACCATTCTCTGTGTTTCCCTTCTGAGTTCCCTTCTGGGTTCTTGTGTTTTGGGAACAGGTCTACGTCCGTATTTTTCTTTTTCGATGGGACATCCGGCACCACATTCCTCCCTCTCTAAACTCTGTAACCGACAGCGACAGAGACATGACCCCTATTTCCGTCGCCCATTGGATCGAATGTGGGCTGGTTCGTCCTTCCAGCCCATCTCGCAATCTCTTGTGAGTTGCAGATGCAGACGGCCTGGTGAGCCGAGGACACAAGCGCGAGACAGGTCTCGGCGCCATTGGGGGGTATCTTGGTCCTCTTCACGCTGACACATCCTCCCTACCTACCTACTTTCAAGCTTCTCGCAGTGTGCATCCTAACACAATCGGGACCAGGCTATACAGTCACATGATGGCTTGGCGCTATCGAGATTGAATCTCAGCAAACCGCACCATGGGACGGATATGTTCGGCGCCCATCTGGAAATCGTGCTCCGGTAGGGTCATTACATGCAACGCTACTCGGTATACTTTCGTCACCCGCACACCATCGCCGAAGAAATGCAGAGCCGGGCACTACCCGCGCTCGCGTCGGTCACCCTGTGGGCCAACGATCCGAAAAAAAAAGCTCTGATCCCGTCTGTTAACCTTTACCTCTTTAACCCGCCTGCGGTATGTGCCCGGGAATACGAAGACAAATTTACCCTCTTTTGGCTCTAGGTCTGACTGTTGGAATCCTTTAGACGAAAAACAAAGCCTTTTGTGTCTGTCCTTGAGGTGTCAATTGTCAGTTGCGCAACGCGCGTCATAAAGCCGCGGGAAAAGGAACAGACACCCCTTATGTGCCGCTCTCCGCCACCCCACAGCTTCGTGGCAGACCTTCGCCCTGGCCCTGAGCCTATTCCCAATCCCGATTCAGCCGGTGCCAAATTTGGGCGTCTACAACCACGCAAGCACCTGGACCGGCCTCATTCGTCCCGCCATCCTTGCTCAAACGGGGTAATTTGGTTACCCACCGACCCTTGTCTAACGCTGCAATCGCCATCTGCCGAGCATCGCCCAGATCTTGCTTGCCTGATATTCCTATGATTGGCTGACTACATCTATTACTCCCACTCGAACCGTGCCATCCTGGTCGGCGATGGAAAGCTTAACCTTCATTCCGGGACTTGGACCATTGTTGTCGGTGAGCCAGGTTGGGCTGTCCTTGCCAGTCAACCAACACACAACCCGCTCTAAGCAGTCAGGCGCACAGGTTTAGACTCCCTTGAACCAACTTACTGCCCAGCACGACACTGTTCATCATTCATGCGCTTCCTAATTATCCACGTCGGCTATCTCCCGACCTTGAGGTCTTATAAGCCTGCGGAGGTTGGGGAAACTGTACCAATCATCCTACAACCATCTTAGACCTGACCCCTAACATGTTTATAGTCGACGTGGCGCCAGACTACTTTGTCCTGGCGCTCCTATCGGTTCTGTGGGGGACGATTTGTCCGAATCCAATGCTGTCATCACTCCATTCACCAACGCGGATAATTACTCTTCCTCTATTTCCATCTTCGCTGGCCGTGCTCGACGCCCCCCCAGGCTTAGCGTCACTCAAGACCGAACCCGATATCCTACACGGTGAATTCTTTTGCGAACGGACAATATGGGTAGCTCCTTTTCGGGGTAGCTCCGAATGCCTAATTCACGTTTGCAGTTCAGCCACTCAGAGAGCAAGCTAGCAAGCAAGTCGGGTCTTTGACCTGTTGCAACCTTCAAACCCTCTGACTTCGTTTGAGAAAGCCGTTACCTTCTCGCAACCATCTAAACTTTCAGATGACGGCCCTATTCACACCTTGAAGGGTTTGGCAGGACTTTCTGCAACACTTGAGCAACCTGAGTTATCCCGTGGAACCGAGGTGACTTTGCTTTCCGCGTTCAACGTCGAGGCTCGGAAACGTGTGACGAAAACTCGAAGATCAATAGTCACAGTCTGGCCAACGCCCAAGATCATGCGCCATCTCTTCTCAAGCAGCACAGTTCTGGGTCTTGGGAGTCCAAGCTTTACTTGTTTCTTCCGTTTAGCCCCTGAAAGATAATGTATGTAGATTTGACTAACTTAAAAATTTGCCAACAAGAGAGAATTTCCCTCGGGTGGTTCATTGAACCTTCACGATCTTGTCGACTCGGGTATTGCTATCTTTGTATGTAGGTGATCGCCGATATTTTCGTTGTCACAACTCAAACTCGTACCGTGCCGTCATCTACGAGCAGCGAGAAATTTTGAGTTCTTGCTACTGCGCGGGAGACAGATATCTGATCTTGAAAGCCTCGTTAGACATTCCTCAAGAGGTAATGTTAATACAACACCCGGAGGACGAGATGCCTCTCTGCCGTCAAAGAGTATTTGGCGCGAACGTTGTTTGTTCTTGGCATGGACTCAGTCACGTACCATGACCAGTCGCGCGCCTATCGTTACCCGCGTATTCATCAGACGAACTTCAACTCGCCACCCTCATTTGCCGAGTCGAAACTATGCATCCAATACTACCCGGGACATCTATCGTTTCACAAAGAACCCAGCACTCAAATCATCTTATGACTGGGCTCATTGTGGGGGGAAGCTATGGCAACGCCATGGCCACACTCATGACCATGGAGACTATCAGATGACCAGTCACTGCCTCTTTTTGCCTTTCCGGTCGTTGTTATGCCCCCCCACGGAGAAATGCAGTGAGTTCTGGGATGGGTCCCTCTGGGAACAACGCCTTTTTGCGAACGGCTTCCGGAGACCCAGGCTGGGGCCAACCCCAGCCCTATGAATGGAGTCCTTGAAAAGGAACAGGGAAATCCCTGTGTCCACGACTACTTTCGAGGACGGAATGAGTCACAGACCTGTCGTTCGTGATGTCACCCCTTGTCACAGCTGTGTCCGTTACCCGAATTAACCGAGGCCGGAGAGCATGTCCGACGGAGTCGAGTCCGAACGGGAAAATTATTGATGCCTGTTGCACGCTAGCTATCAAGATGCCGAGTCTTCGAATTTCTTTGTCCCCGTGGGACAGATTGGTCCCGGCATAGCTTGTGTATGTAATTGGCCTTATTTTAGAAGTTGGATCTCAATCTTCGGCATAATTCACATGATTTTCATCAGAAATGTAAACCTTTTGGTAACGGGAGACCAGTCTGAAGTTTCAATCTAATATGATGTATGTAATGCTGTGTCTATGGGGATGGCTCTATGAAATGTATAAAGATATCGGGAATTAGTGTAAGGTAATGAAATCAAAAACTCCGTAATGCTAATGATGTGTGAGCCCGTTTCGTCAACGAGCCAAAGATGAAAGCACTGTGGCCAGCCCCTCTACGGCCCAGTCTCAGCTTTGGACCCCGATTCTCTCTGCAACATCTTCTTCTTTGATGATGTCAAGCTGCAACTGGACCAACTCCTTGTATCGTTGTGGAGCTGTCAACTTGATGAGTTCAAGCTCGCTAAAGAGCGGGATGCTGTGACCGTCGTCTTGGAGGCAATGGTCAATCTTTTCGGACTTTCCGGCTTGTATTTCGCGGATACGATCATCGATGGTATCCTTGACCTTTATGTCGACCGACGACGCAACTTGCATCTGACCGACTCGGTGGACTCGGCCGTCGGCCTGCTTTTCAGCCGACTCGTTCCACCACGAGTCGATGCGGATTATCTTGCTTGCGCAAGTAAGATTCAATGCCTGACCGCCGATTCTGAAGGATGCGATCTGGAAAGTGAGTTAGCACAATCAAGTCAGTACTAACATGTATGATGTTACGGGCAGTTTGAGCAGATCGAATCGCAGAGGGCTTACCAAGACTTTGATATCTTTGTTCTCCTGAAATGCCTCGATGGCTTTCTTTTTCTGGGTCTCTGTCAAGCCCCCATTGAGGTAGACAAACGTAATACCTAGGGCGTTCAAAGCTATACCCAAAGCTACGGCAGTCTTGGTGAACTCGTGGAAGACTGTCATGATGTCAGCTTGTCAAACCCCATCAATAGAGAGCAACTAAACTCAGGGAGTGGCGCAGTAGGGACCTACCGATAGTCTTTGGGCTCTGGATTTCGTATTTTCTCTGGGTGATATCATTCTTGTCCCAGACTTTGATTCGCTCTTGCTGGTACTGAACGATCAGGTTGATTGCCACATTGAGCTTGGTGCCGAGGGGCATCGCACCGTCGTTTTCTCGCATTCCCTGCTTGATGAAGGACAAGCCTTCGTCTGAAAGTTTTGGGAGCGCGCCATTGAAATCAGCCCCGTACTTCTTGTTGATGAATGCCCTCTTCTGCTTTTCTCTTGCCGCCTGTGAAGGCTTGCCCACAGTCTTCTTCCTCTTCAATCCTCTACCAGAAGACGGAGTCTGGACTGACGACGATGCATGTGCTGCGGCCTCGGTCTCATCCAGTCTGTCGCATTCAGCCTCCTTAGTGGCGAGAGTCATGACTCTTCTGACATCAATCTCTTTTTCGTAGGCGGTTTTGCAGCCCTTCTGTTGGCAGACGCCTTCCTTTGCTTTAAACTGCCATGTGGCTCGAAGACAGTCGCGACAGAAAACATGGTCGCACTAAGGAATAACTTATTAGTACATCACAGTTTTCATACAGAGAGCCAATGGTGACGCGACTCACCGTGTCGATGATGTGTGGTTCTTGAATGCTCTTTGTTCCACAAATGCCACACGTGTTGACGCTCATCATAGCCTCATTATGTGTGTAACGAACTAGAGATTGCAAGGAAAGTTCTTGTCCTGTTGGAACGTCATCCCCGGCCATGCCATCGTTCACGACTCCCAGACTGTTGAACATATGTTCTAGCAGGTCAGGTGCGAGCTCCGTCCTGAGGCCTTTCTCGATGCCATAGGGGTGTGAGATGAACTGTCTCTGGCGAGTCGTACGAATGCTTTTGAGTTTCTTTCTGATTTTCTTATCCTCAGACTTGCCGTACGCTTCCGTCATCAGACTGCTAGCAGTGTTAGGTGTTTTAAACCCGAGAATTTTGTTCCTCCAGGGCAGGCTTCTGACTTACTCGTAGGTCAACCTCTCTTGCTTGGATAATTGAACCCATCTGACTTCAGTTTCGAAGGGCATCATGTTCTTAAGGATCGGCTCGCCGAGGAACTCGTCTTCTTCAGTCCTGCGAAAGTTATTATCTGATATCTGTGCCGCTCAGAATGCTGCAAATTACTCACCGTCTATAGGTGCAGACGTACATCAGGGCGTCAAGTTGAATTGACTATAGGTAGCACCACAAGTTAGTACCTCTGGATGATTTACCAATTAAATAGATAATATGATTACTCACCGATTCCGGAAATGCGCCTTTGAAGTTTTCCTTCGTCTTCATGTTCTCAACTCTGAGCGTCTTGACGATGGAAAATGTTTCTGCGCTATGCGTCAGCGGGATCGTCATTTTCTGGGCATATCTGGAACAGTAGAGTTGCGATCGCCTCATAGGTACCTTTATCTGCTTTGTCAATCAAAGGCGTGGCGCTGAGAAGCCATATGTTTTTGGTCGTTAGAAAGTTGCAAGCGCTGAAGACTAGTATGTATTTTATCATTAGTTTCCAAACTTTTTATGACGAGTCGTGGAAGATGGGTCATACCCTTTGTGTTCGTGTTTTTGATTTCATGGGCCTCGTCTAAGATGACCCTGTACCACCTGACCTGGAATACTTCGCCAGCTACTTCTCTGAAAGCCTTGCCAAAATCTTCATCTTCTTCATAGTCTTTTTTGAGATCTGCCATGACTTGATCAGAAGGGAGGCTGAGCACCAACTCCTGGTAGGTTGTGATGCTGGAGGCTAAGTGTCAGCAAGGCTGAAAAGGTAGGGAAGTTGTGACTTACACGATCTTGTAACGCGAAATATCGCCGCCAGAAGTCGCATGATTGTTGCGCTTGTAAAAGTAAACCTCCTTGGGGCCGATGCATTCCACATGAGCGGAAATCTCTTGCTGCCACTGCCTGGCAACTACCTCTTTGGGCGCAATTATCAGCGTCGCCCCAGAGAAGCCGTCTGGCGAGGCATCCTGAGGAGGGTTGCCAACGATGCAGGCCAAGGACACCATCGTCTTTCCCATGCCCATCTGGTCGGCCAGAACACCGCCGTACGGCGGTGCGAGACCATTCTCTCTTTTTACCATCCAAGCAGCTGGCGTCAATTGCCACTCAATAAGCTTTGTGCTCTTGGCCATGCCCTTGAGGCCGTAGCGGCGGCTATTGTTCACCAAATCTGTGTAGCACTCAATCTTCCCATGCCCGAAGACCTTGATAGCCTCCGCGATGTCTCGGCTCTGGGTGCCACTCCGGCGGTTGTCGCTTCCAGTATTCCTCCTAAGAGAAATGTCCTTCTGCCTCGCTGCATTCGAAACCTTTGTCATCTCACTAAGAGGTAGACGAATTGAAGGAGTCTCGCTAGCATAATGGGACCCTTCAGGGGGGTGGCTGGTTGTCGACATTACTTTCGAGTCCATCTCCCGCGTTCGTCTTGGTTTTTTGGCCTTCGGGGGGACAATGTCTAAAGCTTCATAACTGATCGGCCTCTTCTTGGCGAGTTCCTTTCGTATCTGATTTCTCAGGCTTCTCAGAATCTTATCGTTCACCACCCTCTCGACGTAATCTCTGGCATTCTTTCGTCTTGGAGCCCTCTTCCTCTGCTGGGATTTGGGGTTCACCGTTGGCTTCAGTGTGACCTGATGACCTTCTTCTCTCATCTCCGGCTCAGAGCCATCATCGGAGTACTCGTCATCGCTAAGTGAATCGTAGCCTGACTCGCTGTCTGAATGTGGTGCATCGAGTAGGAATCTGTCCGTGTATCCCTCTTGTTCCACGAATAGATCTTCGCAATGCTGATCAGAGGCTGTGGTAGTGTGTGATGACGGAGAAATTTCTCTGTCTCTTTTTGCAGTGGCCCGGTAACTCTCTTCAGAAGGATCCATGATGACCTAGGTTTGCAATACTTTTCTGAGACTCTTGAATGAAGAGACTCATTCCTTGTCAAATTGTGTGACCAGGCTAGGTCATTGACGGAAAAACACGAGAGCGTCGTTGAAGCGCAAAGGAGAAAAGCCCAAGTATCAGAATTGATCCTCGTTGAGGCCAGGGAAAGAGGGATGGGATACGATGCTCCAGGATGCGTTGTTGGAGTTGGGTCGAGTAAGAGTTGCTTGAATTCACTCAACAAACTGGAGGCTTCTAGCAAACTGGGTGTGTTGTAATTATAGATGTGCGTTGATAAGGTAAGGCATGGAATTTGAATTGATCTCAAAGGAGCCCGGGATATGAGACCGGCGTGGTGGTGTGAAGGAGAGAAGCGAGAGGCGAGGTTGGGTGGTGGAGAGGAGTACATTATATAGACTTGGAAGGGTCGAGAGGCCGGCAGCAGATCAGCCTCAGCCTGGCATCAGGAAAGAGCTCAGGACCTACTGAAGGAAGGAGTTGGTTCTTTTGAAGTGAATGTTTCTCCTGGGGAAAGAACCGATGCCATGGAGATCAACCTCACTATTTCCAAATTTGGGAATAACCTCAAAATGCTGAGTTGCTTACCTCGGTGTCGGGCCTATGCAAGGACCAGACCTCGGTGAGCTTCACCGAAACGACCTTTTACCGCCCGGTCGGCAGAATAATCGCCCCACTAAATTTTCATCGACCCCACGCCCCAATGGCATTTCTCAAAGCACTTGCGACAGCAAATTTACGCCTTTTTCACCACAGCCAATTCAACACCACCGCCATGTCTTCAAAATCTGGCAAAAACGGCAAGGTCGCCGACTCCCGTTTCGCAAATTTCGAGACCGATCCTCGGTTTCGACTTCCCTCCAAGAAGCACACCAAAACCAAGATCGACAAGCGTTTCGCACATGCACTAAAGGACGAATCCTTCACATCCGGCCCAAAAGTTGACCGATACGGCCGCAAAGTCAAGTCCGACAACAAGAAGAAGGCGCTGAAGAACCTATACGAGGCGGAGGACGACGAAGAAGACTCAGACGAGGGCGAGGGCATCGAGGTCGAGGCCGATGATGTTGTCCAGCGCGAGCTGGCAAAGGCGGATGCCAAGTACGACCCTGCTCGCGGTGGCGGCTTCTCCGAGTCCGAATCCGAGTCTGAATCTGAAGATGACGAGTCCGACGAGGAAGAGACGGCTGTCGCTGACCCCAAGGCTTCCGTGTCGCGCCTGCGCGACGAAGAGGCTCAGGTCGAGGAGGGTGAGGTCACGAACCGGATAGCAATCGTCAACCTGGACTGGGACAACATCAAGTCGGCCGATCTGTTTGCTCTTTTCCACAGCTTCCTGCCTTCAACTGGCGGGCGCATTGAAAAGGTTGCAGTCTACCCAAGTGAATTCGGCAAGGAGCGCATGCAGCGCGAGGAGCTGGAGGGACCCCCGAAGGACATTTTCAAGAAGGATGACTCCGAAGAGGAGAGCGAGGACAGCGAGGAGGAAGACGAGGCGATTAAGAAGGAGCTGTTAGAGGAGGGCGACGCCGACGACTTCGACCACGATGCGCTGCGAAAATACCAGCTGGATCGGCTGCGGTACTTCTACGCCGTCATGACCGTCTCTGACAAGGCGACAGCACAGAAGCTCTACGAGGCGACCGACGGCACGGAATACGCGTCTTCATCAAACTTTCTCGACCTGCGATTCGTACCCGACGATACCACATTCGACGACGAGCCTAGAGACGAGTGCGACAAGTTGCCGGAGGGATACAAGCCTGTCGAATTCACTACCGACGCCCTGCAGCACTCCAAGGTCAAGCTCACCTGGGACGTCAACCCTGACGACGCCGCTCGCAAGGCTTCTATCAACCGTGCCTTTACCGGAAGCCGCTCGCAGATTGAGGAGAACGACCTGAAGGCCTACCTGGCCAGCGATAGCGAAGACTCTGGCGAGGAGTTTGCGGGGTTCGATGATGAGGAGGAGGCGGAGGATGAGGAGGAAGCTGCCGAGAAACCCAAGCTATCCAAGAAGGAGCTCGCCCGTCAGAAGATGCGAGAAGCTCTTGGCCTCGGCGCCGAGGAGGAGAAGAAGTCATCCAAGAACGCCCCCGTCGGTGAGATGGAGATCACGTTCACGCCCGCTCTGACGGAGAGCAAGAAGAACAAGAAGCCCGAGGAGGAGGAGACGACGATTGAAAAGTACCAGCGCAAGGAACGCGAGCGCAAGGAGGCGAAGCGTATTGCCGCTCGCGCCAGACGCGAGGGCAAGAGCGGCGCCCCCGTCGCCGAGGAGGCCGAAGAGGTCGAGGCCGACGCGGACGACAGCGCGGAGGACCTCGGCTTCGACGACCCCTTCTTCACGACCGACGAGCCGGTCAAGACCAAGACTTCCGTCCGCAAGGAGGAGCGTCTCGCGAAGCGCGCGGCGCGCGAGGCGGAGGAGAAGGAGAAGGCGGAGCACAAGAAGCAGCTGGAGCTTCTGATGGCAGTTGACAACGCGGATGCGGCGGAGCACCTGGATCACTTTGACATGAATGAGATTATGAAGGCGGAGAAGGCCAAGAAGAAGAAGGGCAAGGCGGCGAAGCGGTTGGCCAAGAAGGCGGCTGCCGATGGCGAGAAGCTCGGTCTGCAGGAGGACTTCAAGATGGATGTCGGCGACGATCGATTCAAGGCTGTCTTTGATAGCCACGAGTACGCTATTGATCCCAGCAACCCCAAGTTCAAGGGCACGGAGGCGATGCAGAAGTTGCTGGAGGAGGGCCGCAAGAAGAGAAAGGCTGGTGGGGATTTGGAGGATGTGCCTATGGAGAGGGAAGGCAAGAAGGCAAAGAAGGCCAAGAAGATTGGCGGCGGCGGCGGCGATGACGACGACGAGGAGTTGAGCAGGCTTGTTGCGTCGGTGAAGAAGAAGGCTGCGAGCAAGGCCGGCAAGAGATGATTGCGGGTATTTCTTTGTTCTCGCGCATTGGTGTTTGATTCGAGGCGTGTTTGTGGTCATACCCTAGAATAGATGTCATACAAAAGTTACTGCAATGTACAAAGCACATGTTCATAAGGATGGATATTCAGCACTATGTGACAAAGCAGTTGATCTTTTGATTTTGTGATGCTGACTTATGAGTTGCTTTCTTGGATATCTCAAGCTCGTGGAAAGAACCATCTAACGCCCCTTCGAGCCACACTTGCTATTTTATCGAAGATGTTCGGTCCGGTATTATTTTGCTAATGGCCCTGCCCTCATCCTCCTCGATCGCCGTATTCCTGGGTCTGCGGTCTCTTTCTGCTGGTCTCTTTATGCTATCCCTGTACCCTCGTAGCTCAAGAGCCAAAGAAGGCGCGGACGGCAAATTTGACGAGGCGAGGCGTGCCAATCTTGCAAGAGATGAGGAAGTTGTCTAGCGTGGGTTTCGGGCGAGCTCGTGTGGCAACAGATGTATCCGTCTGGCTTTGGGCATCGTCGTCGTTGTTGGGCATAGGGAGGCCGGTGTAGGGATCCCACTCCATGTCTTGTTCGTAGATGGAGCCGAGCATGCTTGCGATCCAGATGAGGTTGGCGAGTATAAGGGTGAGAAGAACGCCTCTCAAGGTAGCTTCGTTATGTGAGTAGGTGGGCGGCATAGTCTGTTTGGGGTGTAGTTATGGGGGCTGAATTATATCCTGGTAGAAGTCAAATGTTGAGTTGGAAGGGTTGAAGGATTGAGATGCGACCAAGGTCGTCAAGGAAGGGGCAGGAAGGAGCCAGAAAGAAAAGAGGTCTCATGATGTGGCCTGTGACGAATACCTCAGGTCTTTATGTAGTCAGCCGGCAGATTCTACAGGGGGAATCGGGATCACAGTATTTAGGCAGCGTCACATAGCAAACGACGTAGGCGAATAGGCTGCATAGGTGTTGCGAGAACAACATAGGTGCATCATGGAATCTTGTTCTATTTTGGATGATTCAGCAGAACATGGCTGCGAGGACTTTTGTTTATCATAACTTGAACAACAATTATAGAAATTTACCGGACAACGGCATCCTTCAAGCTGGGGACGGTGCAAAGACCGCCAGACTTGGTCTTCAGCTTGCCAAGACCCTGCTTTCCAAGCGCCTCAACAACACCAGCGTCAAAGGCAACGGCCAAGTCGTCGGTGGTGGTGAATCCGGGCTGGAAGGTCTCCCAGATCTTCTTCTTGGGGTTCAGGACACCCTCGGGTTCACCTTCCCAGCCCTCAAAGTTGATACGCTCACCTGCCTTGGCATCGGCGGGGGGAGTGACGAGCTCGACGGGTCCCTTGTGGTCGTCGACCTCGCCCTCCTTAAGCTTGGGAGAAGCGGCCAGAACCATGGCGCATGACTTGATGCCGCGCATCTTGACGGGCTTCAGGTTGCAGACGACGACGACCTTGCGGCCCTGCATGGACTCGAGGGGTACGAGGCCGTTGAGGCCAGAGCAGACGGTGCGGCAGACCTGTCCCTCGTACTCGGTAGTGTCATCGTTGGGCTCGTCGCCGACGGCAATGGTGGAGACGTAGAGGGAGTCAGCCTCGGGGTGTTTGATGGCCTTGAGGATGTGGCCGACACGGAGATCGATGAGGGCAGGGGAGAGAGGAGCGGCAGCGGGAGCAGCCTTCTGAGGCTTGGGAGCCTTGGCCTTCTTCTCCTTCTTGGGCTGGCCCTCGCCGGCACCGACAGCGGCCTTGACCTTGTCCTTGGCCTCGACGACAACCTCCTTGACCTTCTCTCCAGCGCTCTTATCCTTCTTGGGCTCCTTGGTGCGGTCGGGCAGGGCCTTGTCACCAGCAGCAGCACCACCGGCGGCGGCGGCAGCGGCCTTCTCCTTCTTGAGACGCTCCTTCTCGGCCTTGGCGTCGACGGGGGGCTTCACGTAGAGGACCTCGTCGAGGTCAACCTTGACCTTATCGTCGGCCTTGACATCGGCGGCGAAGGCGGGGAAGTTCTGAACGAAGTCGAGGTGGCGAACGATGTTGGGGTAGCCCTTCTCGCCGGTACGCTGCTCGGGGGACCAGGAGGCGACGAGGGGACGGACGGCGGAGTAGAGAGCGGTGTCGGCCTTGCTGGGCTTGGTGCCGAGAAGGGTGGTGCGGGTGCTCAGGTGGGAGTTGAGGGTATCGAGGATAGGGGAGGCCTCGTCGGGCTTAGACTGCTGGAGACGAGTGGCAGTGGTGAGCCATTGCTGGATCTCGGTCTCCTCGTTGGGAGTGTAGGTGGTGTTGGAGGCCATTCTTGCGAAACGGAACGGGGAGATGCTGCGTGAGCTGGGTCGGATAGCGCGTAGTGAAGAAAGCATCAGGTGTGAGTGAGTCTGAGGTGGAATTTTTACCTGTGTGGCTCTGCGGGGTAGGCGGCAGCAAACGGTGTGGTGGGAGGATTGCCCCTCCACGCCGTTCACCTCTGATTGGATGCCTCAGGCTCAAGCTCTCGGTGACCGGTGAGAGTTGACCGAGCGACTTTTCGGTGTAGGTAGGTGAGCGTTCTCTTGAGACCGATTTACCACCTGCATTCAAGGTAGTTAATGCATATAGCTTTCTGTCTAGGAAATACCGTTCATCCTATTCCATCATTTCATTTCCGTCCTCGGCCTATTTCTGTCTCTGTTTCACTCGCATGGCTGCAGAATGCAATGTTTCCTTGAGACTTGTGCCTAGTCACACATACCGCGATTCATCACACAGCATTCATTGCCCTTGACTCTTGAATGGCATTATTTTATGCAAAAAGAGATATGCAAGACAAGGGTCTAAATTGCATCGCTGGGACCCCGATCTCCTTCCGATCCCCGACTAACTTCATGACGACGGTTGCCTGGAGGAAAAGATAGGGAAAAAGGAAAGAAGAACCGGGGCTTTAATTGAAAGCGACACGAGATCACGTGTTAGCGCTTTCTCTTCGCGTCGTGCCCCTGCCATTTTCCCCTGTCGCCCCGCGATCGCGCGCCCTTTGGCAGCTGAGGCCCGGCCGTTCCTGCTTCCCTATTTCCCCTTGCCACCACACCCTCACCCAATTATCTCAGGAACCTCACTATTTTTCTACTGGAAGGAAACCTCACCCTATAATCCATAGCAGTATATCGCCAGCTTCCTTTTCCAGCATTTCTTTCTACCTCAATCTCACTATTTCGACATTTTTGATCCTTGGAGGCACAGACCTCAACTGCCAAATTTAGCGTCTCCCCTTGCATCATCGATTTGGAGCACTTTTTTCTCTCCCGAATTCCACCACCACGGACGGAGTATTCCCACTCACTCACAAAGCCGAGGACGAGATCGAGACCCTTGGGAGGACATCGACTTCTCGAAAAGTCGCGACCCAATAACTTGTCTACTATTTCTTCAATTTGGTCTCAGCTGCAATCAATATGAGCTCATCAACTTCGGACGTGGAGTCCGTTATGTCCGCTAACCAGCGGCTTGACACCAGTGCACCTTCCTCGCCACCCCGGGATGAGAGTGTTGAGCCCATGGACTCTGAGTTTGCTCTGATAATGAAGGAAGAGGCAAGGGCCAAGGCAGACAATAACAAGAAAGACAAAGCGGCACAGAAGTCCCAGAATTTGAAGAACCGCAGGAAGCGCAAGAATGAGCTCTCCAAAGAGGAGAAGCTCAAGTTGGCCAAGGAGCTGGATGAACTACTCAAGAAATCTCAAGCGTTTAGCAAAATGCTCATGGAAAAGACTCAGGCAATGGGACGGGTTGGCACCAGTCTGGAGGGTGAAGCCTTGGGTGACCACAGTCTATCCTTGACTGCCCAACCTAAGATCATGAAGGGTGGCACCATGAGAGACTACCAGCTGGAAGGACTTACTTGGATGCGGGAAGTGTGCCTTCAGGGCTTATCTGGCATTCTCGCCGATGAGATGGGTCTTGGTAAGTCTTTTTTCCTCACCGTCTTGCACAACTAACTCAACTCTTCCATTCATGTACGAGAAGACTTCAGAGGTAGAGTCGAATACTGACCATTTTCCAGGCAAGACGGTTCAGACGATCTCGTTGATTGCCAATTTGAGAGAGGAGAACTACCTTGGCCCTCATCTCATCGTTGCACCCTTGAGTACTCTCTCAAATTGGATGGACGAGTTTGAGAAATGGTGTCCTTCCCTTCCTGTCGTTCTGTTCCATGGAGACGCCCAAAAGCGTGCGGAAATCAAGAGGAAACACTTGACGCCAAATATGAAGAACGGCAACCCCACCAAGAAGTTCCCTGTGGTGTGCACATCTTACGAGATGGTTCTCAGAGAAAGGGCTACCTTGAGCAAGTTCAATTGGGCTTTCATCATCATTGTAAGTCTTATTCCCCAACACATAGGCTATCAAGCTTACTTGCTCACACTTCCTAGGACGAGGGTCACCGCATGAAGAACTTCGAATCCAAGCTGTTCCAAGAGCTGGAGACTTTCGCATCCGCGACTCGCATGCTCATCACAGGAACACCTCTACAGAACAACCTGAAAGAGCTGTGGGCTCTTCTTCACTTCCTGCTCCCTATGATCTTCAAGAGCTACGAGGCCTTTGAGGCATGGTTTGACTTTGACGACCTCCAGGATGAAGAAGGCGCGCAGGAGTTCATTGCCGATCGTGAGAATCAGGAGCTGATCAAGAAGATTCACGTCATCCTACAACCGCTCCTTCTTCGTCGCGTCAAGGCGGATGTTGCCGCGCATCTTCCCAAGAAGCGGGAATACGTCCTCTTTGCGCCAATGACAAAGGAGCAAACCGACATGTACAACGCCATCAACGACAAGGATGTCGATACTCGCGCTTTTCTTGAGAAGATGGTCATCGACCGTCTCAGTGCCATCACTCCTCCCGTCAAGAAGGAGAAAGTCTCTACCAAGAAGCTCGAAATGCCGATCCGAAGCAGTCCTAGAAAGGCTAAAGGTGAAGCAGCGTCGGAAACCAAGAAACCCAATGCGTTCTCGGCAATGATGAACCGGGCTAGAAGCTCATCTTCCAAGCCCCAAGAAGCCACCAAAGCAACGTCAAAGGCCTCGTCAAAAGCATCCTCCCGGGCTGGCTCTAAACGCAAGGAAGCACCCTCTCTCGAGACCCCACAGTCCAAGAGCGCCAAGTCATCGAGACAGTCGACGCCTTCGACCACTACCCGAGGCCGGGTCACCCGTGGCCGTCGACGCTATGTTGATTCCGATCCTGACGACGAGGATAAGCTCTCTGATGATGAGTTCGAGGCCAAGCTGGCCCGAGAAGCAGAAGAAGCCGATCAGAATGACGATGACTCTGCCCCCGTTCTTTCCCCTGAGGAACAACACCAGGTCAACATTCTCGAGCAGGCGAAGAAGGAGATGTCAACCAAGAAGCTTGGAAACCCCATCATGCAGCTTCGCCTCGTGTGCAACTCCCCGCACAACTTCTTCGATCCTTGGGGCTACGAGGGTAGTCCTCCCGTTGACGAGAGCATTGTCACATCATCCGGCAAGATGTTGATGCTTGATCGTCTCCTTCCTGCCTTGTTCAGCAAGGGCCACAAGGTCTTGATCTTTTCCCAGTTCAAGACTCAACTTGATATCCTTCAAGACTACTGCGAGCTTCGGAAGTGGAAGGCCTGCCGATTGGATGGATCAGTCTCTCAAGAAAGTCGTCGCGACCAGATCAAGGAATTCAACGAGAATCCCGAGTTCAAGATCTTCCTGCTTTCCACGCGTGCCGGTGGCCAGGGCATCAACCTTGCCAGTGCCGACACTGTGATTCTGTTCGACAGTGACTGGAACCCGCAGCAGGATCTCCAGGCACAAGATCGCTGCCACCGAATCGGCCAGACTCGCCCTGTCATTGTCTACCGTCTCGCCACCAAGGGCACCGTTGAGGAGGAGCTTCTTATGAGCGCCGATGCCAAGCGTCGTCTCGAGAAGCTGATCATCAAGAAGGGATCTTTCAAGACAATGGGCCAGAAGATTGACCTGAAGGAAGACCTTGACGGCGAGACGCTCAAGTCTCTGCTGCTGAAGGATGGTCAGATCTTCAAGTACTCCGGTGACCACGAGGTCCTCAGTGACAAGGATCTCGATGTTCTATGCAACAGGTAAGCTCATCAGTGGTCTTCGTCGAGATGTAACTATTTCTAACATGTTCTGCAGAAGCGACGAGGCCTACTCCAAGGCGGCTGAGGGTACCGCGAACGCCGACGGCTACAAGGTCATCGAGACTAGCTCCGACGGCATCACCATTGCCGGACAGTCGGCCGCTTAATGTGGTGCAGCCTGCCCCTTTTCTCTCTTTTGAAACCATACCGGCGAAACGAAGACTCTCGACAGGGCGGATACACAGCTGCCACAGGCCACACCTACGTCCGTCGAACCCAATATTACGAAGAACAACACCAGCCTGTGAAGAACTGTACACAAGAAGCTTCAGTAGATGAAGTTCTAGATGGAGGGAAGAAGTGTGTATACTTATTCACAAAGGCCGACCGTAGGCCATGGTTCAACTTACTTTGCTAGAATAGAGGGTCATCCTCACATGTCATGCATTCTGGATCAGGTTTGTCTATTCTCCGGATGGCTACCGTTTCAGACTCTTGTACTATGTACCTTTGGCGTTTGATACCCCAGGATTGATCAGACGATTACTTGAGATAGCTTGAAATAACACCAGCATTTGTTCATTCTCCCTGGCCTGTGAACCCACGAATTGTGTGCACGGCAGAAGCTACTAATAGCATAATGGGCGCGAAAGAGGGCAAAATTGAATGAAGTGGGCACTGCGGCGGGCATCCTCAGTCTCTCATAAGCTCATATCCTCCCAAATGGTCGCCTCACCACGAGGCCCTCAATCCAACGACCCACTTCGAAGATGAAGTCTCCGATATATATGAGGACCTCTGCAGTGTGATGGACGATGAGACGCTGCAAGCACGGACGGAACGTGTCGACAATCATGGTGTAAAGCATACAGACCAAACTAGTACAAGCAAAGCCGGCGACCAGCTGAAGGAAGAACCATTCAGTGCGGAACAATTTGCGGTCGATCGCAGCCACAGTCTCCTCGGGGAGCTCTTCGAGCCAAATATGTAGAGCAAGGAGAAACTTCTGGGTTGATTCACAGGGGTGCTGGGGGAGGTAATCCGAGACCGTCCATACGAGCCACGATGCCTTTGCGACAATCTACCGAAGGATGCAGAAGGTAAGGTGAACGATGAGATGAACAACCAGACTCAGCAGCAACGGCGCATGCAGCATCCCAACCACGAAGCCGTAGAGATGGGCGAGGTTATCGAGGTACCTGTTGTCAGCAAAGAGTACCCAGCAAACGATGATGGGGCCGAAGAGGTTAGGGAGGAAGAAGAGGCTGTGAAGGTAGCACTCGACGAGCCAGCGGTTGAAGATACCTGTCTGCGAGAAGACTTGTTCGTTCTTCTTAATGTTTTGGAATTTGTTCTTGAGGGGCGTCATTACGATGGCGGCGTTGAGGACGAGGGAGAGGTGGATTGAGGCCGCGGCGAAGATGTGGTATGCGATGGAGAGGTCTGCGCGGTAAAAGACCTTTTCGAGGGGGGTGATGAAGAGGGTGAAGGTTGCGGCAAGGAGAGTTGGAGGCCACATTGTGCGGATAGCTAGATAGAAAGGGTTTGTTGAGGCTGTCATGATTGTGTTACCTGACAACTTGGTTAGAGATGATGGGTCTAATGGATTCAACGGATGACTTTGGATATGGTAAAGAGTCTGGTATTTGCGTATAGATGTGATGAGGCCGTTGGAGAGAGCAAGCTGCAGGGATATGTGCTCCTCGAATTGCAGACCGACTCGTGTTTATGAAGCCTTACTTGACAAAGCATCTAGCTAATAGACTTATTCTTGAATCTTTCTGGTGTTCGCGCATGGTATCAGCGCCAGCTGAACAAAGCATTACGACCCATGTTCTCCGAGGTGGCCCCTGTTCTGCCCTCGATCAAGGGTTGGTTGTGTATCTCACAATAGCCTGAAGGAGAAACGAGACTTGGGAATTACGTGAATAAAGCCTCATTCAGAGAATCTCTGTCGGAAGATACCCACCAACGGCATCCCACCGACGCCAGTGACGAGAAAGTTGGCCGAGGAAGATGTCACCGGAGTTATGAGAATGCAGCGGCCGAAGCGGCCGCACCACCCGCACGCCCGGATATAAGTATCAATCGCGGGCCAGCACCACCCAACCTGCTTCCTCAAGGTCTACTTGGGCCGCTGATTCGTTGATTAATCTCAGTGCGTTCGAGTTCGGTGGGATGCCGAGGCAGTTGAAAGCTTGCGCTTGACTAAGGACGAGTCGTCGCCTTTGACACGGGGTCCTTGTGCATGCCGTTGTGCGATCGAAGTCTGTGCGTGATGCCAGCAACGATGTCGACTTTACGGAGTTTAGCTCACGACCTCAGGGATCGTGCAGCTACGAGTTTAGGGACTGTTGCTTCGACGCCAAGGACGATAACTTAGGCGAGCAATTCTCGCGAGAGAGCCATGCACTATATAAAGGTCCCTCGCTCTCGATGATAAAGAGGTCTCGTTCTGAAGCAATCTCGACCCTCTCATCAGACCGAGTACCATACAATCTCGACTATCTTACCGGCAAAAAAGCAACACCGAGGATCTCAAAATGGCACCTCCAGCAAGCCTCCCCGCCCGCCGTCTTGGCAAGACCGGCCCTGAGATCACCGCCCTTGGCGTAGGATTAATGGGCCTCAGCGTGGCCTACGGCAAGCCTGGGTTCGTGACCTCTGATCAGCCAGCTGCTATAAAGAGACAACCCCGGACTAACCCCATGTCTTCCACAGATCCGACGAAGAGCGTCTCGCATTCCTCGACCGCGCCTGGGAGCTCGGCACCACGAACTGGGACACAGCCGACGCCTACGGCGACAACGAAGACCTCATTGGCAAGTGGTTCGCGCTGCACCCTGAGCGCCGCGCCGACATCTTCCTGGCGACCAAGTTTGGCTTGCGCGGGGAGATCAGGAACGACGGAACCTTTAGCATCAGGATCGACAGCTCGCCCGAATACTGCCGAGAGGCGTGCGAGCGCAGCTTGAAGAGATTGGGCATTGATAGTATTGACTTATACTACATCCACCGCCTGGATGAGACTACGCCCATTGAGAAGACGATTGAGGAGATGGTTAAGTTGAAGAAGTGAGTCTGCGACTGGGCTGGGACTGGGCGCCACGTCCCTTGATGATGTCCTGCACTTTTGGGGGCCCCAGATTACTGACAAGGTATGTGTAGCGAGGGCAAGGTCAAGGCCTTTGGCATCTCTGAGTGCTCCTCAACTACCCTCCGCCGCGCCTACGCCGTCCACCCCATCTCAGCCGTGCAGGTAGAATACAACCCCTGGTCCCTCGAGATCGAAGGCCCCGCCGGCACAGACCTCCTCAAGACGTGCCGCGAACTCGGCGTGACGACCTTTGCTTATTCGCCGCTCGGCCGGGGCATCATGACGGGCCGTTACAAGTCTGCGGACGACTTTGAGGAGGGCGACTTCCGCCGCCAGCTGCCGCGGTACACGGGCGACAACTTCAAGAAGAATACGCAGCTCGTCGAGGAGTTTGCCGCCGTCGGGCACGCGAAGCACGGCTGTTCTGCGGGGCAGCTTACGCTTGCTTGGTTGCTCGCGCAGGGCGAGGACGTGGTGCCGATTCCGGGGACGAAGAAGATTCAGTACTTGGAGGAGAATATGGGGGCGTTGAAGGTTGTGTTGGGCAGAGAGGAGGAGAGGGAGTTGAGGGCTTTGGTTGATGCTGCGGATGTGCAGGGTGATCGGGGTGCGGCGTTTGGCAACTACTCTGATTCGCCTGCTCTTTAAGGAATGAGAATGCCGCGATACCTTCGATGAATGGTGATGCCGCAAGTGGAGGGCGACAATGGGGGGGCGGGGATGTCTCGGGACTCGGCGTGGGTCCCCGGCCCCAGCTTCCGAGGCCCCGAAATCTGGGGAAGAGGATGAAGGTCAGTGATGAAAAAGGAGATAAAGCAACCTCTTTTGCAGCCTCATAAAGCTGGACTATCTATATAGGATATGAAGTATTGGTTATATTGAAACTCGTTCATATCATGAGTGCAAATCATTTGTGAATACAGATGCTGTGAGTTCCCCTCGGGGAAGATGGCCGATGCCGGCTTGCGTTCGGAGATCGGAGTGGGTCACCGACACGCCGGTTGATAAGTGAATTGGCCGGCCTTTGCGCGCTTGGGCCCGTCAGTTGATGTCAATGTTCGTCTTATCAGTTTGAGAACACGACTTCAACAGACTGTTGCTTTATGAGATTGCTACTAAATCTCATCAAACGACCTCTTGATATCGCACTTGAGGTGAAACCCAACTCTCCCGCAATCCTCTTGACACAGTCCACAACTTCGTAATACCAACCAATCATGGCTACTATCTACAAGACGGGTGAGGATGCTCGACTAGCGTGCCGTTCCGGTGCCTTCGCCTCAACCACAGCCGGCCAAGCCCCAACGTATCTTCAAGCGAACCTCATTGTTCTTCCACGACGCTACGCGGATGACTTCCGTCTCCTCTGCCACCGCAACCCAGTGCCATGCCCCCTTCTCGCAGAGTCATCAAGTCCAGGAGACTTCAATAAGCTCAAGTCCTACGTCAGATCGCCAGACGGCGAGAAGATCCTGCCCGTGGCCACACACATTGATCTACGCCACGACTCACCACGATACCGTGTCTACGAGGATAGCAAACACGTCCCAGTCAATGACGTCTGGGAACCAGTAAGCGTGGAAGACAAGTGGCTTGACGGCGACCACGTGGGTTTCTTGATCGGATGCTCCTTCAGCTTTGAGAGGGCTCTTAACGAGTCGGGACTCACGCCGCGACACATGACGCATGACCGCAACGTGCCCATGTATCGTACCAATATCCCACTCTGCGCGGCCGGTGTCTTCAAGGGGGCGACATATGTAGTCTCCATGAGGCCATACAAGGTGTCGGAGGTTGAGAAAGTGAGGGATATCACCAGGCCTTTTGTGGCGACACATGGGGAGCCGATCGCGTGGGGATGGGATGGAGCGGAGAAGATCGGGGTAACAGATATCACGAAGCCTCACTGGGGCGATCCAGCGCTGCAGATGGACGGAAAAACTGTGTTTGGGCGTGACGACCAGGAGTATGTGCCAGTCTTCTGGGGGTGCGGGGTCACGCCACAAGAGGCTGTGATGAGAGCCGATATCAAGGGCACAGTGATGGGACACGCGCCTGGGCATATGGTCATCATGGATGTAAGAGAGGATGAAATCTTTCCCGTCTCATAGTGATGAAGATCTGTTGGCAAAGGATCACGAGCCTGTGGAAACTCTTCCTGTTGAGACGAATTGAATCTTCACTCTGATTGAATTGGTATAAGACATGATAAGTAACCTACAACATCTAGTCTGAGTCGTAAGGCTGGGATGTGTACCTAGTTCTCTTGGACGAATTGAATCGACTGATACTTATCTCTCCCATCTCATGACGCGTCAGGGACTCAGAGGCAACCAGATCAATTGAGCTGAACTCACTGAAGGGACACAGAGAACCATTGCGTCTGCGGGAACATGTGTTGTCCACATTGTCATTTGATGAAAGACCTTTGATTCTGCCTGTCTTTTGTCTAGCAACAATGCGGCCCAAGTCCAGAGAAATGCAAGAAAGACATAAACCCTAAAGAGCCTTGTAAGCAAGGCAAGACAGACCACTTGTGTCAAAGACTGAAAAACATGAAAGCTGAAAGGAAGAAAGTATATGCACAATGGCCGAAAAGACTGACCGAGAACCTGGACTTTGGTATATATATGACTTTAGTATTCTAGAAAAGATGCCGCATACTCGACTCACAAGAACCTATCACTAGCATATTCCATCCACCTAAATCAGACAGTTCACCCAGACCTTATTTCATATCCAACCAAGTTTCCAACAACAGTTTCAAGCTCCAATCCATTTCGATAGCATCTTCTACCGCTTTCGCGTACGATCTCCATCCATCACTCACGCTCCAGCGCTGACGTATATTAGCACCCAACAACATGGCCCCCAAGAAAGGCCAAGGCAAGGCCCCTCCGAGATCCTGGGCCCCCCCGGCAGGATATACTCCTCGACAGACTCGTAGACAGACTCGTAATCAACAACAGCAGCCCAGCCTCTGGCAAGGACTCACCGATAGAGGAGAGGCATACGACGCCCAAGGCAACCATGTTCTAGTGCGCCCGGTGCGCCAGCGTCAAAGGCCACAGCAGTCGGCGGCGCCTCCTCCTGCACCACCACCTCCCCCACCGGCGCCCGCGCCCGCGCTGCCTCCTCCCCCTCCGCCCGCTGCACCTGTCCTGCCACCGATGCCTTCTCCCCCTAATGCTGACTCGGGCGATGAATCTGATGACGAGCCTGGTGATAAACCTGAGATTAGACCTGATGATGGGTCTGATGATGAACCCAACACAACAACTGCGCCTGAATCTGGCGGTGAATCTGGCGACGAACCGAATAACGAATCTGGTGACGAATCTAGGGAGACTGAAGCAGATAACGGGTCTGACGATGACTCTGGCGATGAACCTGAGGCTAGATCAGATAACGAATCTGGTGATGAATATGGCGATGAATCTGAGACTGGATCAGGTCACGAATCTGGTGATGATACCGCAGGTCCTTCATCAGCTCCCACGTCGCCAAAACGCCCCACGAGAACGCCCCTTCCGAGTGGAAGACCAACAAAAATCACGATCAAGTTCAAAACGACCAGAACACAGACGGCACCATCTGCAGAGAGCCAAGACGGTACTGATTTGGACTCTCCTGCTGGCCCATCTGCAGGCGAATCCGTCAGTGATTCACCCGGCGACGGCAGTGATGAAGACAGCCCAAAGAAGCGGAAGAACAAGGGAAAGCAAAATGCAACACACAACGAGGCAGACACCGACTCGGATCCCGAAGTGCCTGAAGAAAGCTCTGAGCCTGCAGAGCCCGAAGATGACGCCAGTCGTGACGACAGTGAAGAACACACCAACAACTCTCACAGCGGCGAAGGCAGTGACCCAGAAGGTTCACAGGATAGCGACCAAGGTACACCCGACGAAGCCACGCCGTCGAGAAGATCAACTCCCGGGTCGGTTGGAGGGAACTCTGAGCACACGTCCACCCCTTCAAAGACACCTCAAGAAAGAAAGGTGTCGAAGAACGAGGATCCGATTCAAATAGGCAGCGACGAGTCTGAACAAGAGAATGAACCGCATCAACGCACCATCGTCCACTATGGCAGCGATGACGAAACAGAAATGTTAGTTCATGAGAGGCCTGACCCAGACCAGACCTTCGACAATGGAGAAAATACTCTCAACTTGGAGGATTATCCAAGCTCGGTTGCCGAAGGTCCCGACTGGAGGGAAGAGTACGATGGAAGCGAGAATGACGGCGATAATCAGCATGATGACCCAAGTGGCAACGCCGGAGGTGACTATGAGGACAAAGATAACGACGACGATGATTCTGAGGTCCATCTCCCCGACTACACGATGTTCGAACCCGATGAAACCGAGGGTCAGCCTGAAATGGGCCGCGTACAAGGCAGCGAGTCGGATCTTTCGAGACAGTCTTCGCCGAGCGGAGTCTCGCCGGGCTTCCCTCGAAACAATCGTTCGCCCAGCCACTCTCCGGATCCATCTGCCGGGGGACAGCAGCACCCATCAGGCTCGAGCGGCAGGCAAGGTTCTACAGCTCAGGGAAGTAAGAACGGACAGTCCAGTGGCAGCAACAAGAGCTCGGCAACAGGAGGCGGGAACGGCTCTGCGGCAACGAAGACGAAGAATGCCACTGGAAAGAGAGGAAGGCTGGAAGATTTTGCCACAGATGACGAAGCCAGGCCACAGAAGCGACAAAGGGAGGACAAGACTGCGGTGCCGAAGCCGAGAAAGAGATTTCCCCGGACCCAATATCGCAAAATATGTCCTTATCCAAGCCCCCGAGAGTCACAACCTCAGACTTCAGAGAAGCGGGAAACGACAAAGAGACCAAGCAGCTCGCTTGAAGAAGCAGTAGAGAAGTATTCGAAAAGGACGAGACTGTTAGAAGGGAAACGTGAAGGGGATTTAGAAAAGTGACGAGATGTTTGAATGATATGATTTTCAGAGTCGTAGATTTTGTTCGAATTGATTTTGCCCTATTAAAGCTTCGAGGGGCTAGCAAGAATATGAACCATGAAAGCGTATCTTACCACCTGGTGATTCCTGGTCTTTCAAGAATGCTTGCCATGCTCGCGGACGGGCGTCCTCTGATTGCTGATGACAGAATCAGGAGCGTTTTTTCAAGGCACTGGGTAATCAGCTTAGCTTGGACCGACATGACTCCTCCTCATGCCCAGTTCGACCGATGGTAGTGGTAGACACAATCCGCGCAGGAGCGCAACTTCTCTTTGTTGTATTGGCGTTGAAAACGCTGGGTATCATAGCATATCTTCGTCTTCGTCATAATCGCCATCCCCACTACCTCGTTCCTCCTCTTCCTCACGCCTGCTGGCTTCCGCACTGGCGCCAATCTTCCGTACGCCTTCTATGACGCCTAGCAAGAAGCCGCGGCTCTCAGCCAGCTCCATCGCTCCAACTCCACGCAAACTCATGACACCGCCTACACCGTCGGACAGGTCCTGCGTACTCTTGCGCATCTTGGCAGATCGTACCTCCTGAAGGTCCTTGAGCAGAGACCTCACCTCGGAAGTGGAGGGTATATCGTCGGATGCGTGTGCCAGCAGGACCTCGGCGAGCTCGAACCAGTGGTAGGGGAGCGCATTTGGGGGCGCGTCGGCTGTACATGAGGGCAGGAACGGCGGTGACAGGGTCTCGTCGAGGGTCGCGCCTAGTCGACGGGCATTGCCTCTTGCGTCGCCGCGCGCAGGAGGTGGCGGAGGAGCAGAGAAGGCGTCGGGGTTGAGTGTCGTTTCTTGATGTACAATCTTGGCGAGAGAGGTTGGATGGAGCCACTGGGGTGGAACAATGTTTGCTCGTCGTTGCTTCTTGAGGAGGAGTGCCAGCCAAAGAGGTAAGTTGGCACGTGCCGGGGGTCGCAAAGCTGGAGTTGCACCCTGGGAAAAGGCATCGAACATTAGCAGAAGGATCTATCCGCGACGCGTCGCGGGGTAAGTGGAAGGGGCTGCTCCGTTCTTACGCTTAGCAGATCGATGCTTTCCAGCCGCTGGCGGGGGACGATTGTGACGAGCTCCATCTCGCATAGAAAAGCCACTTCGGTGGGTACGAGACCCGAGGGCAGAGGCAAAGCCATTGTTGGTTTTCGCAAACAACACCTGTCGCTGCAGCAAGCCCCCGTTGAGGTTTGAAGCTACAAATCGCCTTACTCAAAAGACGCGTCCAGTTTGGCGGTGCGACGGCGCCGCGGGGTTGCGCACGGAAGCAGCCGGCCCGCTTCGGTGGGTGGGGAACTTGAGGCCCGGGCTTTTTGACGACATGGGCCAGGTGCTGATAGCATGAAAGAGTACGTACCACCTGGATCGGGGAACCGGGCAGAGCTCCACCCAGCGCTAGGCATGGAGCTCCACTTATCCCCGGAAGAAGACCCACTTTCAGCCCGGGTCCTCCGAGCCGTCTACCAGGGTCATGGAGGAGCCCAGCTGTCCAGGCCCCCAGGGCGCGACGGGATTAAGATAAGGTAATGCGCCCTACGTAAGGCTGGGCGATAAGTGAAAAGGCCTGGATACATAAGAGCTGAGGTTATTCCTTGCCTTGATCAGCTGAAAGTTCCGGGCTGGCCAATTCTAGGCGCATCCGGACCGCAGCGGTATGATACGGTACCTTATGTGAAGATGTGGCACGGTAATGTTGGATGAATCTGGACTCTCCACATGCGCTCGTTTGTTTTTCCTTTTTGTGCTACCAAATATCCATGACCGCGCCAAGCTACAAATGGGCGGATACCTTACGAATACAAGGGAATCAACAAAATTCTCATTCTCGCCAATCGGCGCTTAATCCGCTCCGTCACGCCAATAGCGTGTGAAAGAAATGGCCATCCAAACAAGTGCGACAGTCCAACAGGTATTGACGTCCCTCGGTCTCTCTCACCTGAGACATCACCTTAGCTAATCGGCCCTGAGAGATCTGTGTCACCTCATCTACTAGGGAAAGGGGACCTTCTACTCCTCAACGGCTGCAACCCTACAGCTGCAGACCTCTCCTCACTATTCTTTTCTTTCTCCGCGTCGCCTAACCTAACCACCCGAGCCAAAGGTCACTGAGCTTTGAAGTCCTGAATTGCTGTCTCGAGCGGGTTGGGCCGGCCCTGTCGTCCCATCTAGAGTTCATTATTGCATTGCCGCTCCGTCACCTGGAAGTCCCATCAACCATCCGGAGGATTATGTCAGTGAACTGTCCAATCGTCCAGAGCAACCGATCTAGATTCCTATTCGTGGCGGCCGCCGCATGGCCGCAGCCGCCCACGCTTTAACATTCATCCTCCGTGATACTCGGGACCGGGCTCCGAGAGCAACAGATAGGCCCATTCGGATTCCCACGATCAAAGTGATTTATCTTCGTGTCATGATGACGAATCACTGCATATTCTCCGACTCGCTGTTCAAGGGCCGCTAAGGAAGCACGTTGGTTCATACAGGAAGAGTCAAAAGCGCAATACGAAGAAATAGGAAGAAGGAAGAGAGACACACAAGCCCAAAATTGCAAGGGTATTGCAGTGAGCATCCGCGCGGCGCCGCCCAACCGCTCTAGCCCTTCCTCCGAGTACAGACCTACGGGAGTACCCCACTGTCATCCTCGACCCTCGTTCTGATTTTCAAACCCCTCGTAGCGGGATTGGGCCGCCCAGATCCGCCTGTTCGGCCGCAGTCGCCTTGTTTGGAACCTCAGCTGCAGCAGTAAAGGCGGTGGCCCTGACGTGGTCTTCTCCTCTTGGACCTTCCATCTTCTCCCACACCGAAGTGGAGTTTTTTGGTCCTGTCCTCGCCATCGCCAGAGGTTTGACATCGATCATCACACGTGGCAACCGACCCTCGTCTTGATCAACGTTCGGAGCCGGGACGGTGGTACGGACGAATCCATCACCACTCTCCACGCTGGGAGGGGCCTTGCCCGTCCTCCTTCTCGGGTCCAGCCTACGTTGGGATATGTTGGCAATTCTGAAGCAATTATCAAGCACTCTTGTTGGTGCCTGACAATCCCTGACTGCTTTATCGTCTAGCTGAGGCTTGCTGTTGTTCGGGAAATCCGGACCGGCGCCAGACGAGCCTTCTAGGGCTTCGGCGCCGCATCCCTTCCCGAAAGAGACTGCTTGTCCGCCCAAATTTCCCCACCGACGCCCAAGAGAGCCTCATCGTCAAACTTTTGTCAGCACGCTTGTGGTTTATCCGAGCAGATAGTCTGCCTGTTCAAGTTTTAGGGATTTTTTTTTTCAACTACAACTATGTCGTCCAATTTGTTGAACTTCAACAAACCATGCAATGGATGTCGACGTCGAAAGGTCCGCTGCGATAAGGCCAAGCCGTGCCTCAACTGCGTTCGTCATGGAATCTCTTGTGTCTACGACCCCCAGAGGGAGCCCGGCGTCCCCAGCCCCGAAAGTCAACAGCAGTTACAGGAGAGAGTCGACCGACTAGAAAGGGTGATTGAGGAGATGAAGGGCATGTCTGTTCGGGGAGAATCACTCAAGGCAACCAGCAGCTCGTTTCCGTCTGCGAGTCCAGCAACAAGTCACTTTGGCGAGTTTTACAACGACCGAGATGAGTCCCTGGCTGGAGATCCTGGAATGCAGGTTTACGACGAAAACGTGTCCTATTATCTTGGCCCCGACTACTGGCTCAACCTCCAAGACGTTGTCTACGAACCGAGGTGCCTTTTCCGTATCGACTCGGACAAAACGGGCAAAAACCCCGCGAGTCCGTCTTCGTGGCCTATCGGTCGAACACCCGTTCTGGCCGATCTTTCCCATCTACACCTTGAACCCGAAAAAGAAGACATCTTGACCGACCTTTTCCTCGCGCATGTTGAGCCCTATGTTCGAATAGTCCACGAGTCCTACTGGCGGCAGCAAATCACGGATTTCCGAGTGGGCGTCCACAAAATCCCGATAGACGTGGAGGTAGGCATGTTTGCAACCCAGGCCATGACCGTTGCGGCATTGCCGGCAAACCTTATCCAAGAGAGGTTAGGCAAGCCCAAGAAGGATCTCCTTCGACACCTGCAGGAAGCTACCCAACTAGCTCTTGAGAGAGCAGACATTTTGCGGAGTAGGAAGGTTTTGGCTTTCTTTGCTCTGCTATATCATATTGTTCGTTTGGCCACTTCCACAACCATCCACTCACGATTCTGAAGATAATGTTTGCTAATTTTCTTAGCAAGCAAAATTCATCACGGGTGATGGAGAAATTGCAGTTTCTCTTCTCGGGCTGGCTGGTCGATTCGGTACAAGACTTGGACTACACCGAGATCCGAGTCACTATAGCTATTCGCCCTGGATAGCAAATATGAGACGCCGAGTCTGGACTCACTTCGAAATCATGGACAACCCAGTGTACAATTTGGAGGGTGCAGACTCTGGCCTGCCATCAATATCCGACGTCCAGCCCGCAAAGAATGCAAACGACAGCCAGTGGATACCGAATCGATTTGCAAAACCAGGCTCTACCCCTCCAGATCAAGATGGGATCACAGACATGTCTTTTGTCTTGATACGGCAACATCTGTTCAAAACGATGCAATCAGTAACGCGAAGGAGGAACGACACGAGCCCGGAAGAGCTGAATAGGATAATTGACCAGACTGAGAACTTCATCAAGGCCAAGTTCATATCCCATGTTGACGGTAGCTCTGCGAGCCACGCAATAATTGTGTCATACTTCAGATCAAGTATGAGGAGCATGCGACTTCTAGTCGATACCGTTGTTGCTCGACATACAGGGGCTGGTCAAGATGCCGAATTTCGGTCGGGGTAAGTTGGAACGTGGAGTCAAAGGGCTTTGACACTTTCTAACGTTTGCAATCGCTAGATTCTATCAAGAGTGTGTAGAAATTCTGGAGGAAGCAGAGCGCGGTGAAGCAGTGGCTCTCCAAAACCATTGTGGCTGGATCTACAGATGGCCGACGACACCCTGCACGATTTCAAATATTCTCATCGGCCTCGCCCAACAACCAAAACACCCGGTCACGGACCGAGCATGGCGGCAAATGAACGTTGTGTTCCGGAGACACAACAACGAGGACATAAGCATGCGCAAGTTTGCTGCTTGGAGGGTCATCGAGGCTCTATGCGACCAGGCTATGCTTTACCACAAGCAGAGATCACACGAAGGAGCATGGTATGCCCAGAGGCTAGACCAAGTCCAGGCCTTGACTACAGCGCAGGGAAAGGCCTCTCTCTCACTGGAGAATGCGACAGTCGACGACATCCTAGGCGATGTGCAAATGTTTGGTCAAGATGCTTCAGTCTTGGGTGGTCACAGTTATTTCGCAGCACAGCAGGCACTTGAGCCGTTGGGTTACCCTCCCTGGAACCAGTCACCAACGGGGGAATCTCACGGTCAAAGCCAACCGCATCCGCACCCACATCCTCATCCGCATCAACCACCGTCTGATGATAGCGAAGACATATGAATTGCGGGTGACGCAATCCGTGGGAACAATGAAACTTCTAGAACGGCGTAAAACAAGGATGGGACAAAATTCAATCATCATTCAATGATTCAACTCATGGGACTCTATAGAGAGAAAAAAAGACTACAGCACAACACCCTGAAGCCGTTCGATCCTATTCTAAAAGACCAAGACCGTTCGATCCTCGGAAACGGCACAGAAATGTGGATGAGGCCAAGCCATGATTCCAAGAATTCAGAACTCAATGCTTGCTTGGTCTGTGGGTCCTTGTGCGTCCAAAAGGCCAACCGTCTGGGAACATGAATTTAGCCAAAGTCTAATTTATGGAGAAAATAACGCTCTTTGGGATTGGAGAAAATGGAGAGACTCTTCAACTCACATTGACTAGGAGCATGGACGTCAATGTCCAACTCGTCAGCCCAAGTCCATACCAGGTTAGGGTCTTTGAGGAACGCCCGGCCCACGAGGACGGCGTCTGCCTGGCCGTCCGCCAAGACCTCCGTGGCGTCCTTCCCCGTCGCGATGCCGCCGACGGACCCTACCAGGGTGCCGGTGCCATCAACGGCTTTCCGGATAGCTTCCGCTATATACGCCTGGTACTTGGGCCCTGGAATGACCTTCATCCTCGCATCTTGCCCGCCGGCGGAAATGTCAAGGAAATCCGCCCCCTTGCCCGCGAGGATCTTGGCGAGCTTCTGGGCTTGAGGGATGTCCCACTGGGGAATTGAAGGGTCGAATTCCAGATAGTCGGTGCCGGCGAGACGCACCAGAACCGGATAGTCGTCGGGCACGTTGGCGCGTGTTAATTCCGTCAGCTCCACGAGCAGGCGAGAACGGTTCTCGAAGCTGCCACCGTACTGGTCGGTTCTCTTGTTGGACGTGGGCGAGAGAAAGTTGTTGATCAGGTACCCATGGGCGGCATGGATCTCGATGGTCTGCAGAATAATTCAACAGCTGAAAAAAAAAAAAAAAAAAGGGACAGCGATAACTGGGGCCCCCGGCAGTGAAACTTACGTCGTATCCGACTTTGACAGCACGCTTAACGGCATCAACCCATCTCGCTTTCAGAGTCTCAATGTCTTTCAAGGTCATTTCTTTAGGAACGTAGGTGTCATCACTGTACGCTACGGCAGAGGGTCCGTAGACATCCTTGGGCCACCCCCGACCCTGTAAAAAAATGTGTGTTAGCTGTGTGCTCATCACTGAACAACGCACACATGTATGTGATGCAGGAGGCAGGGCTCTCTAAAGTACGGGTACGGGTGTTAAGGACGCCGAGTAGATAATACCTTTTCGCCTGCCACCGCCTTACGGTCAATCCAAGGCGCAACAGTGCTCGCTTTCCGGCCGGCATGGCCAATCTGGGCACCAATGTGCCCTCCCTGGCTGTGGACAAAGTCAATGACCTCCTTAGCGGCGACCAGCTGCGAGTCATCCCAGATTCCCAAGTCCTCGGGTGAGATGCGGCCCTCAGGCACAACGGCCTGGACCTCCGTCAAAACCAGCCCGGCGCCGCGAACCGCATAGCTCTGAAGATGCGTCTTGTGCCAGGCCGTCATGTGCCCATTGTCGGCAGAGTACTGGCACATGGGCGATACGATGATGCGATTGTGCAGCGTCAGGCCGCGGATCTTGAGCTGCGAGAAGAGGGTACCGTCTGGCTGAGGGTCCCTGGCAGTCCCGGCGGCTGGGTCCTGGATGGGGGTGAAGTACGGAACCTTTCATCCGGGCTAATCAGTATGCGTACGGCACTTTGTGAGCTCTGGACAGTGGTCTCGCGGGGGATTTCTCGCGGTACAGTCACCGTCTCAGCGCTGGCAGCACGGCATCCCACAGGATGAACGCCTCTCACTGCGCTGGGGGTAGGGGTCTTACATTTTTTGCTCCCTCGTTGATCAAGCCGGGGTCTGAGACTTGCAATGCATCGGGGACTGGTGCCTGGTCTGCGGCCAGCGGAGCTTCGATTTTGGTCATTTTGTTGAGTGAAGATGATGTTATATCTGGCCTTGCGATCGGAGTAGGAATTTACGAATATTATTCTCTCTGTCCGTGCTTATTGTGAACGACAAACCTTGACGGGGATCATGAAGCTTTAAACTTTATATGGAAGATTCTATAGGGCGTTGTCACTTCAATATCGTACATTTCTAAACATGAAGAACACAAATGTCGGCGAGAGAGGATGAACTGTTGAGCCGCTCGGTGCTGAGTAATTACCGTCATAATGCGCGCCAAAGACGTAGGTCGGTGGTTCGCTGAGAAATCGGCCTAATTCATTGCATCTTGCGCTGCTTGCGACGCCGATGTGTACTCCGATTGTTGGCCATGACCATTCCGTTTTCGACTGGCGGCTTTGTAGTACGCTGATGGCTGCATAAGGTGCACGAATTGTGCAAGCAGTATTACAAAGATGAGAGGCCACTTGTTAATCAGTGTACATTACCAACTTGCCAACTGAGATACAAACTTATCCTACCTCTGTGGGACAGAGAGACAGGATGACAGAATACAAATGATGACTCAACCCCCAAGCACCAAACCCCGATACTCTGGCGCCTTCGCTACCTATTCCACATCTGACGGCGAAGTTCTAGCGGGTCGTCTGAGATGTTTTTGCCTCTCTGGCACCAGCCGGTAATTGGGAAATTGTCTCAAAACTGTGAGATGCCGTAGTGCCCGCGACTGAGTGGCCGGTTCGTCAGGCCATCGCTGACCAAGGTCTGCATGCCAGAAGGATCCGAACCCCTGCCGACACGCGGTCTAATGTTGCTCACGGTGGTCTCGCCGACTCGCCGACACGGCGGATACCACCCTAGGACACGGATCACAAAGTCCCAAGCGGCGTAAATTCAGTCGCCGATCGTGGGGTTAGCGGCTCAATGTCGGTTATTCCATGGTGGATCTCCCATTCCTTTGCCCTGATGACGGCAATAAGTTGTTCTCATTGATAGGCACCTTATTTCCCTTTCTAGTCGTGGCTGCAGCTAAGCGTCGAGGCTTGGTCCATTTTGGCTTGAATTTTGAGCGCCATGCATTAGTGCTGTTCAAGACATCACTAATCACTCATACCGGATAGTCGGTATTTGTACTACAGTGTACGGATAATAGGACACTGACGCCATTGTCTAGAGGATTTCCGCTATCCCATCTCAACTCAGCATGAGAATGAATGGACATGAAGTTTAGGATTTCTCAAGTCAGCGACAAACTAAGGAATAAACTCGAACTTTAAGATGATATGGCCCTGAGAGTAGTCCACAACATGCTTTGCAGACTTTCATGGTCTGTCGGGAACATACACTTTAAGAAGGGAGGGTAACAACACATGCCGTGATGTACGAACCCGCCATTACTTGTTAGATTTGACCTGGGTCCTTTTGTGAATGGTGTGGTTCCCACCAAGTCTCCAGCCAAAACAGTGGCACATAGGGCTATTGCGCATTTACAAAGTATGAAGGTTAAATATCTGCGGGGTGATAACGGTGGAGGGACCGTAACATGTGCGCGACTTTGGCTTAACGTCATGCCTCTGAACAGCACAGCATCACTATATTATGTACAGATTTAGACTGATTTCTGATAGCGAACCGATCTTCTTCTATTCCTTGAATCTTGGTCACACTCTCTGAATTGTGTTAGTGTTCGAATGCTACTATAGTCGAAAGAAGAAAAACGCTCCGAAAGATTCAAACCTAAAGTACCTCGTTGCCTACAGCATAGCCGGGTTGAACCTTTCGTTCCTATTGACACTCGCAGTCCAGACTGGAAAATCCAAGCGCTCGTCCCATGTCCATGATCCATATCGATGCGTCTAGACCAAAGTAGATATTGTTGACTCGTTTACCAATTCTAGACCTTCCTCTGGCGTTTCGGATCGGACTACTGTCAAAATTTGCTGCCAGAAATCCCTTCCCTGAAGGTATGCGCATTTTACTAAGGGTCCGCGACGACAGTTGACTATTCGGAGGCGCAAATGTAGACGTAGCACCCTCGCTCACCGATTGTAACATCCCCCTATGCAGGCTGCACTTGTTGCTATCCAGATTCCTTAAGAAGCCAATCCGATTTTCCGTTAAAGGTGGTGAGATTGTGGCGAAGACGCCACGCTTCGCCAATTGTTCACCGCCTCGGACGTTTTGCGTGGACGCCGACAAAGTACCTTCAGACTTTGCGATAGCTCTATCGGCGAATCTCTGGTGCGAGTATCAGAAACTGGTGGTCAATAGTCAAAGCATATCCCTGCCTTTCCATCATCAGGAACATACGAGCCCGGCGGCCGCCGCTCGGACAACCTCCGCCTCAGAAGAAATGTGAAAAAACGACGACGACAGAACTTGTCCGGAGCCGACCAACTTTAATGCAACACTCTCCGAGTTCGACTTGGCAGCGGCAACTTGAGACGAATCTCATTCACACCGATACTGCCGGTGAAGCTGGACGTGCGCATCCATATCGTATATGTTGGGATGAAATGTTTGGGCGTGAAATGCCGACCTCGGCACCTGACTGGGGCTTCGGCAGGGGTGACATCCTCGGTAGAGGGCCCGGCAGTAGACAAGGTTGAAAAGGGGTTCAAGTCCGAGATTTTGATCACTCCAGTATGGAGTGTTCAGACGCGAGTGCCCCGGTGGCCCTCATTTTGAGAGTGGTGAGCAGTATCTTGAAGGGTACGATACCCGTTGACAGACATGATTGACAATGGGCGTAAGACATCCATACAAACATTACTTCCATAGGGGTGTGATAAAACATCAGTAGTAAAAATCGGGGTTGATTTCCGATGAATGAATGATGGAAAGCTTTTTACATTTGAAGATCTCAATCAGTCTTAGCGGCAACTGCAAAATCCGAAGTCTATTGTCAAGGTACAATTGACCAACTACGCAAACAGACTTTTCCCGAGGAAGATTGAGGAGCCCAGCGATTGCAATTCTGATCTTATATTTTTGCCAAGTTTGCTCGATCTACTGCTTGATGAATTGGCCGAATCTGATGGATGCGTCGCAGGGCTCTGCGTCTGTGAGGTGCAGCTATGCGGGTGTGTAGTACACATCAAAGGATACGGCAATATTTGCACTTCTTGTTGCTTGCTGATCAGCCTGACTTTACTTTACAGCCCAAGCTGCTGGGTTGACGATTTAGGCGCCTCGTCATTCAAGACACCTAAAGTATTTTGGGCAAGCAGGTATCGCTGAAGTCCAAATCTACTTCTTCAATTGATTGTGAGGCTGAGTACTTGTACGTTACCACATTAAAAGATGGATGCAATGGCCCCTACTTGTCCTCCCTGAATGCGGTTGCCAATCTCAGTGAAAGGCCGGTGTCAAGAGAGAGTCCGCTCACCTACATCTTGGTTCCCTAGATGACATGAAATCATGATATAATCGATTACTTCGACGTGGCAAAGACTTCAATAATGAAATAAAGTAAAGTTAGGTAAGTAACATACCTAGTACGTGGTAAGTAGGGTAGGGTAGGGATTGGGAAAGCGAACCGCAGCTCGACTTCATGATATACATGGGCCGAGTCTGAGGAAATCCGGATCATCCAGTTCATACTAACACACATAGTCTACAACCTTTCCTGCAAGCAGTGCTTTATTCTCGTACTTATACACAGTTTCCGACGGTCTTCAATTCCTTTCCCGGGGTTGAGCGCATGCGCGGACCACGTATAATGTGGGTCTCAGTTCGGGAGCAACACGGCGGCACGGTAGAAACCTCGGCAGAGGTTCAGAGCTTCCAACGCAACTCAGTACCTTAAGGTACTCGAACTTAGGTCAAAGGCGATTTATTAGGAACTGCCAAGCCCCTTGATATTTGAGAGGCCAGTCCAGCGAAAGTGATTTCGTGGAATTCGCAAGTCGCAAAATCCGCATCAAAAAAGGCTTTCAATTTCCGTACCCAAGGATGACGGACAAGGCCTAGCCTTTGAAGCAACTTGAAGACCATCGCGTTTGCGCGTTGCACCTACGGATATCCTCGCTTGCACTGCTCGTACTGCTCGCAAAGTTGGATCGCAGCTTAAAGCAGACACGTATCTGGAAAGGTAGAGTTGGCGCCGTTGCCATCGCCTGTCTCGCCAAGTTGATCACACATAGGAAAACTTGAAGCATTACAGCTGGTAGACCGTCCATACCAAACTATATGACCAAAGTGTAGTTTGTAGTCTCAACGACGGAGGGTTATACTATCAAGGCATCTTCAGCTTCAAGTATCCCTCGGTATCATGTTTCTCGCTGGGCTCCTGGCGCTCATCCTCCGTTTCCCCCATAAGCTCTTTTACCTCCCTTGCTGCTCTTTCTCCGAGAGCTAGTAAGCTGCCCATGCCGAGCATTTCCAAGACACTGACTTCGAAACCGAATGCCCCTTTCCACCACCCGCGCATTTTTACCGTTACCAGACTATCGAGTCCAGCATCTTGAAGTGACATGGCCACGTCGATCTCATCCTCGGCTTCAACCGGCTTCAACAGCAAGTGGAATAACTGTACTGCAATCTGTCTTGCAACGAACTTCGAGGCTTCTGACGAAGTCAAGATTGATGGATCTGCAGTCGCAGATTTCAAGAATACAGAGAGAGCACCTTGATCCGAAGAAGTTCTTACAATAGCTTTCTGGCGGTTATCCAAGCTGAAGTAGTATCCCATTCGTCGATCTTCTTTCCATGGAACTCTGTTCGCCGGGTCACTCAAGGACGTGAGACTGCGATGGCCAATGGAAATCTGAGCGCTGTTGACGAAGGAGGACGATGCTGGGTATGAGGCCTTGAATTCGGGTGCGCTGAGAACCAATGCAAGGGCGTCCAGGAGTTGAGGGATCTTGATACCGTAGATACCTTGGCCCATCAGTCTCTCCATCAAGATGGGATTATCAGCCAGATACCCCGAGTCCATCATAGCGCCAACGTCAACTACATTAGCTTTCAGGCCCAAACTCTGACGGTACTGGACGAAAGCGTTAAGGTACTGGACGAGAGCGTCAAGGAACGTGTTCGCTCCAGCATAGTTGGCCTGTCCTCTTTGTCCATGAATGCCGGAGATGGAGCTGAAGAACAAAAAGAAATCCAAGTCCAGCACTGCGTTGACGGAGGCGTGATGGAGGTTCCACGTCCCCTTGGCATCAGGAATGGAGTTACATCAGTTCGGCCCATGCCTACTGCAGCCATAGCACCCGATTTGGTGACTTCTGATGAGACAACTCCACGATAGCACGTCGCAGTAATCGCCTCATTCGGTGTGAGCTTTCCACAAGCATAAGCAGCAGCCATCTCTCCCAAATTCGGAGTCAAGCATTTGGAACCAGGCACAGCTCATGACGTATTCCGCCACTTCCCAGTTCTAGCCTTGCTAATCGTCTACTGCATACAAAGCGTTAGAGTACAATTCATTAAAGGCTATGCCAGCGTCACCTTAAGCTATCAGAAATTCAGGACCGCAGCCTCAGCTTCCTCAAATTGCAACGCACACTCGGTCAGCACCCACGAACGGAGTAGTTCTTTGAGAGAGCGATGAACCTCTCAGAACGAAACGCCTTTTTGTATGCGTAGTAATGCTGTTCACTCCCTTGTTGTCGTCTATATCAATGTCAAGTATTCCATGCCTAGCCCTTAAACGATGTTCACAATTCAAGCTGCAGGTCCTGAGCTGTCGCTTCTACGGGTTCGTCTCCCGCACCACTAATGAATGATAGTGCGTTATTCTGCGTCATCTTTTCGTCAGGTGGGAGTGTCGGAAGTACCTTTAGGGAAAGGTTTTGCAAGTTCATGTCCTATAGACTAGTGAGATCCTGTGATATCTGAAGTACTATTCTTTGGAATAGACTTTCCACGGATATAGATTGTAGGGCTTACGTTATAAACCTCAGCCAAGATGTAGTGACAGCGAAGAAATGCTGGGTTGGGCAGGTTCTCATCGCCATTGTGCGCACTAAACTGAACTGTGGAAGGTAGGCTCCATCGTAGAAAGAAGTGTTCGCCGGCACCGAACCATTGGATGGCATATTGATTCTAAGTAAATAGGTTAGACCCATAGATGTTTCAAACTACAGCTCATTGAAGGACTTACTTGGATGTCTGTGGACTTGAAAGCCATCTCCAGCCTTCTAAACTGTTTATGCAGCGTGTCCATCAACGTCATCGCGTTGGAGATCTGGTTTATGCTATCAGAAGCAATCGTTCCTTTGAGGTCGGTGAAATATCGATGATACGCATGCCAAATTGTGGCAATATTCAGCGTCTGCAGCATAGTGTAAGCATTCTAGTCACCTGTTTTGTACAGGGACACCTACTTGGGTATAACTACCGTTGGTAGTGGAGAGAGAGAAAGGAATGCAGTGTGCACACTTAGTGCTGCATTGCCCATTTTGATAGGGGCGCTCCTCCCATGATCTAGACCAATATTGGCTGAGGATGCATTTCCCACCCTCTCTTTCCAGGCAGTCCCGTCTCAATAGGTCGTCTCTCTGTGCTGTGTCAACTTCGTGCAAGGAGCTTTCTATCTCAGTCTGGGCGTCTTCATCCACCGGCTGGGAGATGACTCCCTTTCCTCTCCCACGAGCCAGCACTGTTAGGTCAGTTATTAATTTGAATACGTATCATATAGATGATTTGGTACTCACTAGGCTTAAGCAGCGCGTCGATTAAATGGTTTCTGAGAGCACGGAGTTTGTCTGGCTCATTTTGGTACAAATAAACCTCCGCCGCAAGAGTGGTGAGGCCGTTGCCCTCGAGCCGACGTAGAAAGACCTTCAGAACTTGGTCGGTGTCGTCAGACTTTTCGCACGGGACGTAATCATCGCAAATATCAAGTGCTACTGTCACTCCCAGTTGAGCCGCCGAGTCGTCTCCTAGACTTGTGAGCCTTTCCTCTATCAAGGCTCCATCGATCTCTGGGTGTTCGGAGACCGACATCGTGGATGACGACTGCTTTTCCTTGAAACTGGATGATTCCAAATGTGTCTGTCGTTGAAAAGAATTCCACGAGGCTACGTCGACTGCGAGATGACGTCGGCACATAGTTACGTACCTCTCACGAGTGCAGAACCAGCAAGGTGCGTAACTTCTCCAGATTCTCGAATTTAGCTAAAACTTTGACAAACTTACCATACCCTGATTATCGAGATGGGAGTATCCGCGGGCCTGCAATCTTGTCCCAAGCGACGAGGAATGCACCAATGATCGTCCTGCTCGAATGTCGTATGTGACCCAACATAAGGCCTGGATTAGTTGTGATGATGTCTCTCAATCCTGTCAAGTGGATCGGCGGGGGCACAATGCCGGACAGTTAGATTCTAAGGATATCTCGTATTACAACGTGATATAAGTAAGTGATGCCAGTATCTCACTGGCATTCTGTACATCTCTGATGTCGAGATGCAATGTGTCGCAATAGACTATCGAGAAGTAAGTGACCAATCAGGGAGAGCCCTAGCGCCACTGCAAAGTCATGAGTTCAAGCTATTCGCAATGTACTTTGGTCGATAAGAACATGCAGGTGATTGCTGAAGGATTCGGATGGCAAACTATCGACAATCACCTGGTCAATGAAAGTCAACGCCTCCGGACCCCACGTTTCCCTTCTGGAAAGAGTGAATTCCGCACCGCCGCAAAACCCCAGCACCGTCCGGGTCGAAAATGGGATTTCGGGCGACCGATCGTGGCGGTGCAATTTCCAATTTCCACCTGATATCTGGCTGGAGTTTGCGCGGGTAAAAGAATTGAGGTCCTGCGTGCGAGTATTCCGCTCCGTTCGAGGTACGCCGCATATTGGAAAGGTAAATACCAATGAGTCAGGACCACTATCCCATGGTCCTTAAATACCGCTGCTGCCTCTGGAACATACAGAGAATGCGGCGCCGAGAGAACGCTAGGAAGCATGAGAAGGGACAGCTCGGTACGAGACAGTCCGTCTTGAGACATAAGATGGTTGAAAAAATACGGGGCACAATGCCAGCTTGATGCTAGCCCCTGAGCCTTACAGTAAATGGGGGCGGTATGCATCTGACCAGTCTGTGTATGCAGGATGTATTCCCGCAACTGGCACCCCCAACGGCTTACCTGCAGCCAAAGCATTCTAAACCAATCAAGATCGCCAAGTGTTAAGTGAGCTTGATCAGTACGGTCGTATTCTTGACGATGACGGGTTAGAGGCCCCAAAAATACTGCCATCTTCTCCAACCTTGATAATTAGAAACCATCATCTACCAAGGTCGACGAAAAGCTAGAGTTTACAGTTTGTGAGTTACTGCTATAGACAGGCAGAAGAGAGTACTTTACGGGGTTCATAAGACTACAGGGTTGCTCAAACACCCTTTTAAGGGGCGGGGCACTACTTACTTTTGTGTATGAACAAGGAAAAAATTGCGTCGCCATGATGACAAATTGAGCTCCAAAATTTGTTAAGGAATAGAAATCCTGGGGTCAAGCAGTGGAATACGTGCAATCAAAGACGCTTTTCTGAGTCCGACTTCGTGTTCTGTTACCATCCCTCTCCTTCCCAGTCGCCGTGCTAGCCCATGACTTTTCGTCCATTTTGCGATCCCTCAGTGTTATTGTCAAAAAGGTTTTTGTCCAATCCAGAAATGCATCATACCATACGCATGTACATTGGGGTCTCTCATGGCATTTCGACATTCGGCGAAGAGAACTTCCATCTCAATTTTGCTCCATCCCAACATCTGAAAGTGGATTGCACCTACTACCGGAAAGAACTCTTCGCAAGCGGTGCGGTAGTACATACCAATCAGTCGCATAATTCTATGACAAGTGATTGTTAGAATTCCACGGCTTATATGTGTGGACGTTCTGGCGGTACTTACTTATCCCTGGGCCATGTACCATACGGTAACTTCACTGTGTGATGTTGGATGTTGACAAAGCCGGCCTGTTCCAAATACTGCCTTCCAAACACAGCCGCATGAGAATTTGTCCCAAACTTTGCGAATGCCTCTACGAGATGGTTCGTGAAGCGGACAAGAGGCCAGTCAGAGGGCATTGTGCCATCGTCACAGTGAACCTGGCCGTCAACGTCCTGAAGCTCGATCCAGCCGCCAGGCTTCATGTGCCTACAAAACTTGATTAACGCTGAATATGGCAGCGGCAGAGATTTGAGGACAGAACATACTCAAGTGCATTCCGCAGCAGGCCAACGGGTGACTTGAGAACTGGCACCATGTTTCGTAGGTGAACAAAGTCAAAATTTGTGCCGTTCAACCACGTATCTTCAACATCGTCTACTAAGAACTTGACATTCGGTGGTACCCAAACGGGCTGAATGGGGCTCAAGTCAAGACCATGGATCTCCGCGCTTGGGAATAAATCTCCCACTGTTTCTTCGGTCAGCTGCCCTAAAGCCCTTTCGCGTGTTGTTGTTTCTCAGAGAGAGATTCAGATATTTTTACTCACTCTCAATCGCCCAGATACCTGTTCCCGTGCCGAGATCGATAATCTTCTGTGGATTATCCCCGATAGGCGCAAAGTAAAGCCTCCCGTCCGTGGCTTCCAGCATCATCGCATGCAGCATGTCCTCGCGGTTCTGCTCTGTCTCGTCGTTGGGGATCGGGTACCGTCCGTGCCGGAACTTATGGTAACGCCGGCCATGCTGGAAGCTATGCTCATAGACGCTGGAGTTCAGTGAGGTTGAGTCAGTCCTTTGACTCCTGTCGTCGGCTATCGATGATCCGTCAAATACACTGGGAGTAAATTCGTCATCATCGTCGGTGCCGCCGGCCTCGAGGGCATGATCGGCGGAAGGTCCGGCGAAGTTTTCTGCAGGAGGGCCGGGAATGCTTGGTGCGGCTGGAGCCGGGTCGGCTGATGTCGTCGTTGTTTCGGAGACTGTTGTCGTCGTTTGCTCCGTACTTGAACCGCCAGCCGTAGGTGCCGCAGATGCAGACGCTGCTTTGTTTTGTTACTAACATCCTTCTGACTAGACGCGATTTGACGCGTCGATTGTGGTGTCGTATGTTGTTTCGAGGCCATTCATTTCATAAGACCACCCCCGAAATCGAAAAGTCAATTGAGCTCACCATCAAGATCGTCGCGTCGCGAGTCCTCAGAAGGGCCCGTGCTAGGGCTCACAGGATGGCTTGCCGTGCCCATCGTAACAGCACGGCTCGGGGCTTCTTGTATGCCCTCAAGCTACCGCAGTCTTCGGATCTTTCGAGCTTATTTCGCGTGAAATTTGAAGCCTCGCCAAGTTCTGTGAAACTGTTTGGAATGACGGTGAATGAGGAAACGACAATGTTTTGGCTGTGACTCTGCGTCGTAATCTCTAGCGGCCCTGGCTCCGAAGGTCAAGCTACCCTAGCCTGGATGACCCATGAATCGGGCCACCCGTCAGTCAACTTAGTGAACGGGAAGTCTGTCCGAGTCAAGAGTGTGGAGGCGGGGTTGACGAAAGGTGCGTCCAGGTGCACTCAGAGGTCCAGGCTTCCCACTCGTGCGAATTAAGGTTTGGGTGATGGCATGCGTTTGTCTGACGGAGTACTCTTACTCCTATCCTCCGTATGCTGGTTTCGAGGGACCTGACGAGATCATGAGACTTCTTGACTGACGCAGATAACAGGAAGAGGTCGGACAAGAAGTAGCCGTGGCAGGTTTAGATAGCTCAGAAGAAGGATTATCCGGACTGGGCCCATGGCTTTTTGGCGACTGTCACGGAGCCCCCAGAGATTTGTCGGCCTGAGACACAACGCATGCAGAATGCTCAGGGTGTCTCGAACAAATTTACGAACACCAGGGCGGGCAAGCGATCTCCTTCATGTCCCTGGCTTTCATTGGCACTGATCAGGGCACTGAGTAGGGCCACAAAGTAGGTAGTGTGGACAAGCAGCGTCGGGATAGGAATACTGGAAAGGCACGATCATCTTCTGCGGGTTCTTCTGGCAAGCGATGGACCGCTTCAGCGCTTGTGCTACCATTATGTTGTGGCACCGTCCACCTGCCGGACTGAGATATAGAGAGGGGAATCATGTCATTTTTGCCGTCACATCTGCCATTGATAACTGCAGCTCTACCCTGGAGCCTGCAGGAATTGCCCCCATGAATACGGAGTACCAGTTTCTGTTCGCCTGTGAGGCGTGCCTTGTACGGAGTAGTACTGGTGGGACAAATGGTGGCGTTTATTGGATCTCGTTAGGGCAGTTCAAGCCGTTACCATCCATTCCCAGGTGCCCGGTTATCAGGTTGACCCGGGTAGTGTTCTAGACCTGCTAGACCACCACCATCGGGGCAATACTTCGTATGCGCTGGACTGCCAATCCTCCGTAGCCAGGCTGACTGACATTTCTTGACCGCTCAGTTACAGATCGATATGAACCTGAGCCTTGAGGGAGCACGTTCATCTTTGACTGAGTCTCCATCACCCGTTCCCGTCAATCGTATCCCTTTATTGAGACTCTTGCTTTCGATTTTCCTGCGGTCATCGAATCGTTGTTCTCTTCGATTCGTTCGTGTTCAGTGGATCAAATCCATTTCAAAATGCAAGCAACGTCATTATCAGATTGGTCGAGTGCTTCCTGGTTACTAAATCCCCCCGAGAACCAAAGACCAATTATATGCTTTCTCTCCTCGAATATTCGAAACCATCGACCGGCATTCGAGGTAAGTATCTTCTGACAACCCTTCACTGCGCCTTTTGCTGGCATGTTTGATATGTGATGAGTCGCACGGCGCGAAAACTGCATCTCGCTCTACCGGGAAGGGGTAGCGGAGCTGATCGCAAAAAAAGCAGCTAATGTTCAGGCCTCTATGCAGTCTCAGCCCACACAGACCCCGATCTCCGGCGGTCGGCAGTAAGATTTCCGATCCTTCTGCGCTTATCATGCTGTGTGACTTTCGGCATGCCAACCCACCGATGGGCGAGTAGGTATTGAGATTGACAAAAGGAACTACATGACAAGTCCATCCTCTGATCATGATTCTGACGGCCAAAGTCGACAAATAATAGTCGAAAATGACATGTAGCTTGCCACGTTGCCCAGACCTCGTAGCGTGCAGCGGGGAAGCATCAATTAGCTGCCGGTCGGTCTGCTGCCTCGAAAGGAGCTTTCTCCGACCCTAATGCGTCCGTTACATTCCAGTCTCTGCAGTAGGCCCAGATTCCGTTTTCAAACTCTCCTGTGCTTGGGTTAATAACTCAACACATTGACAAGAAAACCCGGCTAGCACCCAGTTCAGGCGCCCACCTCAAGGGCCTTTGGGTTCGATGTGATAGCTGTTAAAAGGCGCTCAATGGCACGGGCGTGGGGTTCGCGCTCCGAGGCCTCAATGAATGCTCGCGGTTCGGTGGTTCTCCAAACTTGCACGAGCATCAGTTCGGTCTTCGAAGCCAGCCGACGGATTTACAACCCCACAAGCCCATTGTTGGGCTGGTCTTTGAATAACAGCCCTCTCATTTTTCAGTCTTTGGGCCAAGGCGAATTGCTCATTTACTGGATTTTCTACCTCATCCCTGATTGCATTTGATATGGCCATGTGCAGTGGAATGAATGATTCTCATGGTCAGACACGTGATGTGCTGCCCCATCCAAGGCCTGTAAGACGGCACTGGGGAATAGAGACCGCCTGAAATCCGATGAGAGCATAGCTGTCCACTGTCCAAATGAAGAAGTCCCTCCAAGTTTTAGCGAGGGTAGACTCCTAACTCCATCGAATTATTCTTTCCTGACCAATGTAATTCAAATGAAGAACCGCTACTTGTCAAGATAGAGTGTTATCACCAATCACAATCACTCTATAACTGTGTGCAGGATTGGGAATTCGTACAGATTAACATCGCCACCTACTTTATCCTTCATAACAATTGATTGGCCCGATATATCTACAGGTTTTAGTCATAAATAGTGTACTGTATTGCCGTGTAGCGTCATATTATCTCGACACAAATTTCTTTCTCATTGTGAGCCTGTGAGAGTTATTTTTTAGTCGAGATCCGGAGACAGGAAAGGCACAAAATCAACCATCAGCTCTGTGTGGAATCTAGCGGAAGATTGATAAGGCGCGTCATGCATAGTCTGCATTGAAATGTAGTCTCAATCACGGGAGTAGATTATTGATCTTCTCCCATTTTGCTGTAGGAGTATCTTTCCGACAGTCGCCGATCTCATAATTCGGGACGGAGGAATCTTCAGGCGTCCTTGATAGAAACGAGCTGGCCAATGCCGCATTGGTGATAACGCCTTTGTATGATTGGGTACAGCGGTCCTACTCTGCTCAGGAGGTCAATTAGATCTGACCCTCAATCTCCCGAGCGGAAGTAATTGGGCCTCAGATGACTTCAGTAACGAATTGCCCATATCGGATCCACCTTCTCACTTGTATAAAGTGTGATAATTCTTGGGGGCATGATGCGGATGCCCACTTCAAACCATCTCGGACCTTGTATTTTTTTTTTTTTTTTTTTTGCCAATCACTACTTCATACCTCTCTGTCCAGTCCTCGTCCTCACACATCATGCCCTATTTTGAACACAACAATAACATCTCCATCTACTACCTGGATGAAGGCCCGCATGATGCACAAGCTGTGCTTCTCATTCCCGGCATCACCTGTGACCTCCACGATTGGGATTGGCAGGTACCCTCCCTTCTCCCGCATGGTTTCCGGGTAATTACCCCCGACCCCCGGGGACAGGGACGTTCATCCGCCCCGGCACCTACCCCAGACATCAAATCGTACCCCGGGCCGGACGCCCATCCTGACATCGTCGACTACTACCCACAGTCCGCTGCATTGGACTTCATCGCCCTTCTGCAGCATCTCAATGTCTCGTCTGTCGTCGGCATTGCTCATTCTCTTGGCACAGCCGTGGCGTACCACTTCGCCAGAGTGAGGCCGGATCTCATGCGGGTGATGGTGATACTTGACCTGCTTCACTCGATCCCAAGTGAAACGGTGGACACGTATCTCACTGACCCTCTGCAGACTTTGCAGAACCTTGCTATGCTTTTTGGTCCCGCTCTGTACCCGTCGACGGTCCCTGCTTGGCACTTGACCTGGATAGGCAGACGTCGTTTGGCCGGAGATCTGAATGTCGTTTTGGCTCAATCATATGCATCCCAAGTTGACCCAGAAGCAATTGGGAGGCGAGAAGTCTCTGTGGCTCAGCACAACGGCAAGACCAAGTGTCCGCGGTTGACTATGGGAAATAGCGAATATTGGGTCACGACGGAACGAAGCTATTTATCTTCCAGTAGTGATTTTGATGAAATACATCTTGTAGAGGGGATTGGTCATTGGTTCCACCAACTGAAAAGTGAACAGGTCAACGGGCATATACAGCGCTGGTTTGAGAAGATTGGTCTGATTCCAGTGAAGGGATAGAACGAAGATGTTGAGGCCTGGCACCGCCTTTAACATCCACTGTATTATTAAATGTCGAATAGAAACAGCTCTGCTCGCCCAAGAAAGCCAGTATGAAGGTATCCCCTCATATAATCATGTGTTACTCGTGGTCACCGATGGCGCATCTCTCAGCGTGTCGTGTGTATCATTTTGTCATTGTGTAAATATTCTTGTACATATCCGAAATGCATCAAAAACGGTTGCACGACTCTGCTTCAAAGCAACTCTGACATAAGAGTCTCAAAAAGATCTTTAGAGTGCATGCATCCATGAACGTCTCAATGGCTGAAACGGAAATCCAATCGCTTATTGCCCTCGTCCTTTGTTGTTTCCAAGTATGCAAGTCTCTGCTCTTCCGACATACCTTCCCAGATCCGGTCGCGTCTCTTGTTCCGGTATACGTAGTAAGCCTTCACTAATGGGTAAAGAATCAAGTTCATGCAGACGATGCCGAGGAGAGACCGGTTGCCGCGTTTGTAGAGTGGCGCATCGTCTGTTTGTAGAGTAAGCATTTGTTTTTCGTGCCTGTACTATATTGAACTGAAAGACTTACCAGATCGATAAATGTTAGAAGAAATGATTCCATCCGTCTGTACAAACATGTTGTAACAAGCAGCCGAGACGGTCCTTGACCGAACTGTGTTGGAGTTGCGACTGTTCCATCCGACCTAAACTAGAGTTAGCACTTACGCATCGATCGGAGCCGATCACACATCAGATGATTGCGTGTCGTCTGTGATTCTTTGAGCTTACTTGAATGGGGTGAGCTGTAATCCAGTCAGTTTCAAGTACCTGGCACAATAAATTTGGATGCATGTATAAAGTAACTTACGATTCGGGTACATAAGAAGTAACGTGATGACGGAGTAAAGAACCCATCTGTTGACTCCAGATGTGTCGACAACGTTGAGGTATATCAAGAATGGGAGTGCCCACACCTGACCAGACATCGAGACAAAGGTAAGTTCGCCGATGACTTCGCCCAGGTATGTGATTGCCAGCATTGTAACCACTATCTCATGTGTTAGTCTGGCATTGGGGAGAATAATTGTAACACGTCCTTACTGTGTCCAACGGTCCATGGAATAGCGAGAAGATTCGCCTGGAAGGTATCGAAGCCGAGGTTCTTTAATGTCAGGGTGAGGTACTGCGATGGAGGTGTCATGGGAATCTGGAAAGTGAGACCCAGGATATACAAGGGCCAGAGATCATAATCTTTGAGACTGTCCCAGAGCAACCTTGGAGTAATTGGCTCGCGATTGTGCATGCTGCTCTTGCTTGGGTCTTCGCGAAGAACTCTGTTGACAAGGATAATTTCCTCTCTGATTCATTGGTTAGTACCTTTTCTGACAGCAGAGCATCCTGGGAAGCACAAGTCAAACTCACCTTTCGGAGAACCAGCCCTTCTTCCCGCGAAACCAGCTCGCAGTCTGGCAAGGGCCAGCAGGCATCAAAAGAAAGCCGAAAATACCAATGACCAGTGTCAACAGCCCTTCAATGAGGAATAGCCACCTCCATCCGGAATGTCCTTGAACGCCACGCATGTGGAGCAGTCCATACGCAAAGATCGCAGAAAGAATATCGGCGATACTCATGGCAGTCCAAAAGAAGCCAAGTCTCAGGGATAGCTCGTGATGCTTGTAGAAGTACGACAAATAGAGGATGATCTAGTTATTGAATGTTATTCAAGAGGGTTTCATTAGAGTCAGTTGGAAAGGGTAGAGGCAGCTCACATCAGGGATGAATCCACCCTGGAGAAGACCCAACAATGCGCGGCAGGCAAGGAATGAGTCTCTACCATCGAGCCAGAACTGACAGCTGGCTACGATACTCCAAAGAATCATCTGTGCAGGAATCCACCGATCTGGGCCAACCCATTTGGATACAAGCTGAGATGGCAACTCCGCACAAAGAAACGCGAGCTTGAACACGGTGTTTCCGAGGTTAAAGTCTATAAGCTTTGTCAACAATCATCCCTACATTACGCCAGTAGGTTGCGACATACCATTGGTGCTCATCTTCAAATCCCCCAGCATGTTGTCCGTGTTTGCTGCAACAGCCATATGTCAGATTTGCAATTGCAGATGTCAGAATGATTCGCGCGCACCTTGGCTGATGTTTGCGCGATCAAGTTCAAGCGCCATGAACATGATACAAGCCCATATCATAATCCGTATGTCGATCTTTCGTACTTTTCCCAAGTCAGTAAAGCACAAGCGCACCGCAAGTCGTTGGACAAAAGAAGGATAACTTTACTCACCCAAAGCATACTCTTCAGCCCATGTCCATCGGGCGAGAGGGTCAAAGCGGTGGTAGTTCTCCCTAACGTTGAATGCATTAGAGAAATTACAGTTTGTGAATATGTTTTTTCGAAACTCTCCAGACTTACCAGTCTTCTCGTGGATGATACTTCTCGGCCGAATCTGGATCGTCAAACACACTCGGCTGTATCGCAGAGTTAGCGCCTTTTCGAAATGTGCACCTAAGCTGGGCCATCTACATACTTGAGTAGCGACGGCGAAAGGGTCAAAATCCTTGTTCCGCTGGAACCAAAACCGCTTCTCCTCGATGGGAGCCCCGAGAGCCGGAATGCCTTCGAGAGATACGGTAGATTGGTCTGCCTCGCCCTTCTGGAAGGTGTTCTTTGCCAGAACAGTCGCCATGATTACTGATGATGATGTCGTCCTTCCGACTTGGTATTGAGGCCCAGGGACGAGTGCCGGATACGATGTCTCCTCGGAGCTTCACTCCAACACTATATAAAGCCCTGCAACGAAGAAAAGACGGGTCGGCGGATCTCGTCAGAAGTTTCGGGATCGTGGAACTCATCCGCCACCGGAACTTCACTTTCATGCTAGACTGGGTATGCTGCGATGGCGAATGCGGTCCACAGTATCACGTTGTTGCAAGGGAGATAGGCGCCCGCGTCTTCTGCGGCTGTAGGGGTCTGGAGTCCGGGCCCATACCACCCATGTGGTAGTTCTCTAATCCTCCCGAAGAGACTCGGGAGACATTTTATCCTTGTGCTTGGGGGTCCAAAGGGTATATGGCTTGTTGGAGGGAAAATAGACTTCCATATGCAGGAGAACAGCCGATGAAATAAGCCATGCCAGATCGAACATTGAGAATATCTCGGCGACATTCATATGGTTGACCTACAGTTGTCAGCATTCAACGGATGTACGAGTAAGCCCACAATCTTCAGTGAGTGAATCACGCATCTGCCTTCATTTGCATGAATATTTCTTGTAGAAATGACGGCGGAAATGCCTACGCCAGCTCCTTTCACGTCTTCGCTGTCCACACTCTCGGGCGAACTCTATGTAGATACTTACGGTCGCAGGGAATCGTGCAAATTTCTGCAAATTTCTGAACGCGTATCATTTGGCGCGGGCGTCGGACGACAGGTTATCCTTTCAGTCTGAGCTTCCCTGCATCCTTGTCTCAGAAGGGGTGGAGTGGGGGTACCCATTCGAGGTCGCCGTGCAGAGATTCAACTCTCTCAGTCTGGATATTCAGCTCACTAGAGAATCAAAACCAATGATACAAAGTAAGCGCCGCTATCGCAACTTGTTACGGCTATTGAATGACCATTCAGAGTTCCCGAGTCTGGGCTGGGCTGCGTTCTTCGAGCTCGCCATAAGCCAGGGATCTGACGCAAGACACCACTTCAGATCCTTATCAATGCTCTTAGGTTCAATCTCAACTGCGCAAAACGACTTCCGAAACCAACATCAAATACTATTTTCTATCATTTAGCCATGCTAATGGAATATCTGTGAATTCTTGTGGATATCGATCTTGCCGCCCATTGAAGTTCGGGTTGATGAAGCACTCACACGAGCTTGCATCAGCTTGCCCCCACGAAAACCGCCAGCCTCCAGCAGCCCAGATTAATGCAGATGCTAGGTACTCTGATGCAAGAACTTCCCCTTGCCATCCTGGGGCTGAAGGTCGATATCGGAACGATTGTTCAAGTGGTGAAATAGGCGAGCACTCATTGGCCAGGCCTGTGGAACAAAACCTTGATCACATCATTCTTGCCGGATCCACGCCATTGTGTAAAAGGGGTGATCAATCACGGAATGGGCTCGATGTCTTTCACCATCCCAAATCGCTTCTGTAGTCTCGACCTGTAGAATGCGGGGAATACCCAAGCGATTGAATCTCACCGGATGTCGCTTTATCGGGATTTTAAAGTCGTAACCGCCGACAGGATGTCGCGATAGCTTGCACCTCACTACTCCGCATCACGAGCGAGCCGGTGGACTTATAAAATGGCATTAATTACTCCTGATGAGGGTAGGAGGAGCGGCAATCTTGAAAAATTCAAACGATCGATCGCATTTAACACCTACATCTAGATTCTGAAGTATTTCGTCGGCTGTAATCATGGCTCCTACAGCTATTGACACCGAGGTGACTCTTCACACTAGCACGAAGACCTCACTTCCGACCCCACTGAAGTCATCAAACTCATTGGAACAATATGAGTCCTTTGACGTAACCCCGAATATTGGTCGCGAATTCCCAAAGGCAAACCTGGTCGAATGGCTCAATGCTCCCAACGCCGATGAGCTCATCAGAGACCTTGCCATCACAAGTAAGTAGCTGCGTTCGGGAATGAGTCTTGACCAACGGGTGTAACTAACTGTGGGGTCAAGTCTCGCAACGTGGTGTCGTCTTCTTCCGTGCTCAGGACAACCTGACCAATGATCTGCAAAAGCAACTAATCCTCCGATTGGGAGAACTCACCGGCCGACCCTCCGACTCCGGGCTCCACATCCACCCGGTCCTCAATTCGGAGCGGGAACTGGGTGGGGCAGACCCGGAGATCAGCACAATCAGCTCTGTGCAGCACAAGAAGATCTACCGCAAGCCTCTGGAGGGCGAAGAGCTGAGCCCCAAGAAGCAGTCGACTGCACAATGGCACAGCGACATTGCTTTTGAGCCTGTCCCGGCCGACTACTCGTCCTTGCGCCTTGTTGAGCTCCCCAAGACTGGCGGCGGTAAGTAGAGCTCGTCTGTTGGGTCCAGAAGTCACCGGCACGAAGCTAATACCAAATAGATACCCTGTGGGCATCTGGATATGAGATCTATGACCGCCTCAGCACTCCCTACCAGAAGTTTCTGGAAAGCCTCACGGTCACTTTTGAACAGCCTGGCTTTGCAGCCGCTGCCGAGCGTGGCGGTTTCAAGCTATACGACAAGCCGCGCGGTAACCCAAAGAACATTGGCAGTATTCTCAAAGCTGTTCACCCTGTTGTGCGAACGAACCCTGTGTCGGGTTGGAAGAGTGTCTTCCCTGTTGGCGGCCACGTGAAGCACATCAACGGCGTGACGGCGGAGGAGAGCAAGCACCTGTTGGATTGGTTTCTGGACATCTTGCAAAAGAACCATGATATCCAAGTCCGTCTCAAGTGGCAAAATGCTAACGATATTGGTAAGTCAATTCACCTTTGACCTCAAATGACTGTGCAAGTTACTAAGGGAGGATCGCAGCCATTTGGGACAACAGAAGCACATTTCACACAGCAACCTTCGATTATGATGACCAAGGAGAGAGATTTGGAAACCGAGCGGTTGGTATTGGTGAAGCGCCTTATCAGGACCCCAACAGTAAGGGACGCCGTGAGGCATTGGGACTTTCTTATGTGACCGGACCTTAAACATGAGCTACAGTGACTATCAAGTACTTCAGGATGCTTCGGACCTTCAATGATAAGTGAAGCACACACAAGTGGAACCAATCATCGGAGATATCGTGGAGTAGACAGGATGGAATGTACACTCCCGTGACTCCTCATGTATATATATCCCTGCCGCTTATCCGAGGCGCCCAAGTATAGAAAACAGTCTAGTCTATAAGCCATCAAAGCGTTCTCTCATATGCGCTCTTGACTCGGCGGCTAACCTTGGTCTGCGTGGATTAGTCAACGCATCCTTACGACACCTTCGGCAGAAGCACTGACCTTGACAGCCGATGAGATGAGCTAATTGCACCGATCTCGTGTATTGTGCATGAACAGCTGACGTCACTCGCCTTCAACTTGTCACATTTGCGCCTACAAAAAGATTTTGATTGTCCAGCATAATAAACTGCTAGTCTTGTCAATTGTATTCGCGGGAAGTAGTCCTACAAATTTCGTTCCGAGATGTAGGATTTGCTCAATTTGAAGGAAGAAATCCATACCAATCCTTCTAGTTACTCCACAGAAAGTATGCCCAGCGGCATCGCCCCATAGACTTCAGAGTACCCGGTCCAAGTCTCTCTAAAGCTGCTTCTCGTTTTCCTTGCCCTTTGCCTCCTTCGGTGTGCTGATGCCAATACCCAGGACAATCAGGATTCGAACCAAAACCATTGGTGCGGTCGTAAAAAAAGCAACATAGTCCTCGACAGTCCATGTGGACCTGTCCAGCCAAATCTCCCAGCCTCCCACGGCTTGCGCAGTGCCGTGGCAGAAAGCAGCGTCGCTCAGAAGCATACCGGCGCAAAGAACGCGCCAGAGGGCGAGGTCGTCGAAGACGCGCATGACCACGCCCTCGGTGAAGGCGAAATGCAGCCAGCCACCGCCAAGCTGCGTGTAGATGAACTGCGTGTTGGGTTCGTATGCGAAGGCGTTGCGCGTCATTCCGGCGAGATATTGGTTCGGGGTGTGAAGAACCATGACTGCGCCGAGTAGCGCGAAGACCGGCTCGAGGGTCATAATGATGAGTCGGTAGATGCCTGGGACTGCGGCGGAGCCCTTGATTGTGACCCGTTGAGAGGCCATGCTGTTCCAGTTGTCAAATCTAGTTCGCGATAAGAAGGTCTCGTGGCGCTTCAAATAGATGTGGTGATGGTGTTTTCGCGTCTGAGGATTTCGCGTCGCAATGGCAACTTGAAGTGTCGTGCAGGACGGGAGATGCAAGTTGGGGGTGAGAATTGGCCAAAATTGCGATGAAAGACGCAACTTTAGCTCTAGTAGATTACATGAAAGAAATACCCGCCGGTCACTAGCTTTATCAACCACTGATCAAAGCTTATCCCAGCTCAATGAAACACGCACTCGGATGCGCCGGCTGCGGGGTGACTAGATTCCGAGACGAGCAACGCCAGTGATCCTGGCTTGTACGAAGCTGCCGAAGAGCACGCACGGCCAGTAGTAACCGAATTAAGGAGTACAGTACTCCGTAATACGGATACAGCAAAATCAGCATGAGTGCGCAGACCAACAGTTGGTTGCTTGCTACGGCTAGGATTGCTTGATGATCACGGCTTCTTTCTCGTGTTTCGCGATGCAAGGGAACGCGGTCTCCTCATGTGAAGGACGGATGGCCCGAAGAATAGTATCCTCGAGAAATAAGTCGGCTCGCGTGGAGGAGAAGCCTTCCTCAAGTCACGCGTGGGACTGTCATAGAAAGAAAGCTCCTCCAAATTCTTCGAAGTGCGATTTATGTGTTCCCTGTGCGTTCTAAAGTTGTGGAAGCATCCAAATCTGGAGGGTGAGCGCACCACTACTTGCCAGAGTACCTGTACAGGATATCTTTTGTCGTAGTCTTGCACCTAAGCATCAAAATTCAACGACGTTGGCCGTTTTCATTCATGTCATGCATCACCAGCGAGGTAGCAGACAGGGAACCACCAGGCCTTGTCTCAGTCGCATGGACTGTTCAGGTGGAT